TAAGGTTTCCGTGCAACGCTGGAAAAAACTACGCTTGCACAAAAGGTGGCGTGTTAAAATATAAAAAATTTGAGTTTTAATCTTTGTTGAGTTGGTTTATTGACACCTGCTTCCCTAAATTTCCTTGTTTTGATTTCTAGCTATGTGATGATTTAAGAGAGATAATTTTGTATTAATTCCTCAAATTATTCTAAATGGAGGAGCGAGTACAAATAAATTTGATAAGTTGATTATTAGTAATAAAAAGGTACGAAGTGATAGATATGATAATTAAGAGTTATAAGAAGGGTAAAAGTGATACAGAGTATTTTAATATAAAAAAGAGAGAGATTTTGAAACAAATTAAAAAGAAAAGAAGAAAATTTTTTAGAGATGGAGATCGAGAAATATTTGCTTTTGTTAGGTTGGTATATTTGATTTAAAAATGTTGAGAATGTTTGTAGGAGAGACATAGCCAGATTTAGGAAGTTAGGTTGTAACCAACACTAACACTAACACTAAAGTTATAATACTAATACTGTTGTGCCAGGCCACTTGGTAGGTGGGCTGAGTGTACAAGTCAGTATGTGTGTATGTATAGGTGTATATAGTACTCCTTCCGTCCCATAAAGATGGATACGTTTTGACTAAAGTAGAAATTAAGGGAGAGATAATTTTGTGTTGACTTTTCAAAAATACCCTTGATGTGATGGGTAAAAGTATGATGTGATGTGTAGATTATTAGGAAAAAGGTATGATGTGATAGGTAGGGTTTGAAAAAGTAAGGGGTAAAAGTGGTTTTTTAATAGAAATGGGTAAGGGATTGTGGGACGCAATTTTTTTGAAACGTGTAAATCTTTTTGGGACGGAGAGAGTATGTGTCAAGGAACCAACTCAACCAAAAGCTCAAGCTTGTGGTTGTGGCCTAGGAACAGTTATTTATATTCTTAAAATACGCCCCCTCACGTGCAGGCGTAGTTTTTTCGAGCCTTGCACGTGAAAGCTTAATTTTTTTAACTGGGTGGCGCTGAGTTTCGAACCCGTGACCTCTTAGTCAACGAGGCTCTGATACCATGTCAAGCAACCAACTCAAACAAAAGCTCAAGCTTGTGGTTGTGGCCCAGGAACAGTTATTTATATTCTAACAATTTGTTCTTTATTTGTCTCTCCGATCCCTCTAAAAAATTATCTTCTCCTTGTGTTTTATTTGACTGATATTATTTTCATATCATTTTATATGAAAAATAATGTAGAATTAAAAAATAAAAATTATATATTAAAAAATTATACCAAAAGATCTACAAAATTAGATGTGATATGATTATATTATTTTATTTAATGGACAATGAAAATAGGTCAACAAAGAAGATAATTTTTAGATAGAGAGACTATTATGTGTGCTACCCGCTGTGATCTATGACGGAATATGGAATATATACATGTTACATGGTATATATGAGGTTTTAATTTGCTTTTTGCATGTTGGACCTGACTTGTTCATAATTTTATTTTGAAATGACTACAACTCGAATAGGCTGCCAATAATACTCAGAAGGGAAATGCTTGGTTCGCAAACTCAAACTTTACAAACTTCACAAATTTACCATTTGTGAACTTCAATAAAAAAATTTAATGGTCTAAAGTAATTTAAAAATGAGAATTTAAACCAAAAGTAGTAAGTTTGTGAAATTTGTGATACTTTTGTTTGTGATAATTGATTTTAACGCGATTCATTTCATTTTGATATTAATTTTTTATTAAAAATAAAGACTCACAGGATATGATTAACACGATGTGATAACTATATATATTTCACATTGCGTTAATAACTACTAATCCGTTCTAGTGTATTTGTCACGTTTGACTTTTTCGAGTCAAGCTGGACAAACTTTGAACTCCAATTACTTTCAATTTACATTGCATATTATCATAATGAAATACAATTTTGAAAGTTCTTAATGCAATAAATCCAATAAAGTCTTTTTTAATATTACGATTTTTATTTAATTGAAACTCAAAGTTTGTCCAGTTTGACTCGAAAAAGTCAAAGTGGACAAATACACTGGGACGGAAGGAATATATATATATATATATATATATATATATATATATAACTCTGCCCCATGAGTGTGATCGGGACTTCATCACTTGTGCGTCAAACTTTTAACGGAAAAAGAAGAGAGAAAAAGCTATGAGTCCCTCCATTGAAAAACAACAAAAATATTATATTAATGTTGTTGGGCTAAAAAAATACTCCCTTCGTTTTATTGTATTTGTCAAATTTGATTTTCTAGAGTGAAGCTGGGCAAACTGTGAAAATCAATGAAATAAAAATCGTAATATATTTTAACATTAAAACGATTTTATTAAATTTATGGTGTTTAGAACTCTCAAAATTATATTTTATTACGGAGTATACCAATATGCAATACAAATGAAGAGTAATAAGAGTTCAAAGTTTGTCAAGTTTGACTCGAAAAAGTCAAACTAGACAAATATATTGGGATGAATGTAGCATAATTTTTTTACTCCTTATATTCACAATCTTTGAAAAAAATAGAACACACAAACACACACAAAATTACTCTATATATTCACTAAGGGTAAATATAATACTCCTTATGCTTTAGTGTAATTTTTTTTTGTTGATTTTTATATTTAATGTACTTTTATTGAATGGAATTTTGTATTTAGTACGTAGTACATTATTTTTATTTAAGTTTAATTAATTAATGAAATCTTATTAATTTACTCTTATAAAATTTATACGGAGTATTAAACAATAAAAAAGAAAAATGGTTTGAAGCCCCAATTTAAAGCTTGATATTTTCAGTCAAACTGTGATGTAAGTTAAGTAAGTATTAAAGCTGATCTGGTCTGATCTGATCTGATCTAATTTTAATTAGAATAAAAAAAATAAAAAAAAATAAGTTGAACGGAACGGGGTCTTAGAGTACTCCCAAGGGAGATGGACCAAAGTAGGAGTAAAAGAGTTGTCATATCCCAAAATAAGAGTTGAAACTTAAACTCATCTGAATAGGAATAATTAACATTTTTAGGAGCTAGGAGGGTTAATTAAAACATATACTCCGTGTGACTGTATTAAATAGGAGTTGGGTTATGCGCCTTGCATTGAGTCGAGTTAATTTGTGTCTAACCTAATATCTACTCCCTACCACATATACTTTCTTGCACTATTGTGTTAGGTAACCCTTCACATTACTGCACAATTGTAACTCTAACTAGCATTTCCATTGAAAATTTAAGTTTGACGATCTTTGTTGTTGAATTTCAAGAATCATAACGAATCTGTAAATATAACAGTGTCAATCCAAACAAGAAAAAAAAGTAGAGTTGTCAAAAGATGTAACATGAACGTGGAACAATGATTTTAAGCATTATACAAAAAAAGACTCTAGTGCCTCTTCAACTCTTTCATGGGATTAAAAAAAAACTTTCCATGCTGCGTGTTGTTGGCAAGAAATCTCGTTCAGTCATCTTGATTTATAGTAAATTGTTATTGAATCGTTAACAAAACCGAATCGACAAAAAAAAACAAATTTGAATGTTAACAAAATTAATTCAATAACAAAACACACCCAAAAACTTCATCAACAAAAATGAATCAATACATACAGATAGAAACGTAGTGAATTGCTAAATTAAAATGTCCATGCAGTGTCAAAAAAGATCACATCAAATGTCACATGTAATGATATAATGGCAATCATGCTAATGTATAAAGTCATATATGCGAATGCATAATGCTAAAAAAATAACAAATTTGAATGTAAAAATAAATAAATATAAGAACAAAACACACTCAAAACTTCATCAACAAAAATGAATCAATACCTTACATATAGAAACGTAGTAAATTACTAAATTAAAATGTCCATACAATGTCAAAAAAGACCACATTAAATGTCACATATAATCATATAATGGCAATCATGTCAATGTATAAAGTCATACATGCGAATGCATAATGCTAAACAAATTAAATAGATAATGCCAACCCCTTGACATTGTATAATATCATTCCTGATAATGTATAATGAAAGATATATCAATGTATAATGTTAAATATCACAGATGTTAATGCATAATGTTAAAAAGGGATAAATTTCAAGTAACACTACTTTTTGCCATAGTTTTGTTTAATGAGTATTGGTAGTCCAACTTGGTTTGAGCGCCCAAGTTGGTTAGTGCGGCCAACTTGTTTGTGCGGCTAGGAGAGTTAATTAAAACATATATTTAATTAATTACTCCTATTTAGGGGAGTTTAAGTTTGAATTCCTATTTTAAAGATATGATCCATGTTTTACTCCCATTTAGGAGGTTTTCTTTACTCCCAATAAATTAATAGCGCGGATTGCCATGTAATTTGTTAGTGGCCAGTAAAAAGTTACTCCGTAGTAGAGTTGGGCAATTGGGCTCTCTCTAAAATTTTCGTGCAGAAGTACTTGGGCTCCAAGTAGGATACAAGTCTGGGCAGGTTTCACCCTCTTTTGGGCTTTAAGTTATGGGGTACGAGTCGAGTTCGCCCGTAACAAGCAAGAGCCCGCAAAGGTTTAAGTGTCAGGCTCAAGTTTTATGCTTAAGCCCGCTTTCAGAACTAATGAATAATGATGATGATAATAATCATAGTGAAAATATTAAAAAAAAAAAGTACCAACAGAAACCACACCAAATGTTATTCTTACACCAGCACACATATTTATCTACTCTCTCCTCCTCGTATATTTGTTTTATTTTGATTTTTTACATTCAACTATTGTTGGAAATGAAAGGATCACATTGTATTAACTAGCTCAAATTGTGTATTACATGGTTAAGTCCTATATATGGAAAATGAAAAACAAGTAACAACCAAAAATATCTTCCTAACTAACTAACAAACTATGTAACTAATCAACTAAATAAATGCTAAATGGTTGATTACACCAACACCCCCCCCTCAAGTTGAAGGTGGGAACAACTTCAACTTGCAAGTGAATAAGATCCTTGTTGACCATGCATAAACAACAAACTTTTCTGCCCAGCATGTCATAACCATCTTTAGAATTGTGAACTTTGAGGACATCTCTCCTCAGCTTGCCCAACATCTTTCTCCTCAATTCGACCAGCAAAATGCATCGGTAGCTCATACACAAACGGGAACACCTCTTCAATCTGCAAGTTCACCTTTTGTCCAACCTTCTACTCCTCTGGCCCCATTACCCATGCTAGGGGACCCTGAAAAAGTTAGTTTGAGTGCTCCATCGATCTCTTCTTGGTTAAAGCAGTAAGAAAGGTGTCGGCCAAAGCTTTGAATTCCTCTGTTAGTGATATCAGCTCTGTTTTCAGTATGCATCTGAAAAAAAAGGCTGAAGAGCAGCTGCATCAGTATGTTGGTGAAGATTTGGTTGCCATGACAAAATGTCGGTTGCAGGCAAGAAATTTCTTCCCACAAGATGGACCTACTGGAACAAAGAGAATGAAATGCTATACAGCCTCAAATGTAGTGTCATCTAGTTGATACTGTGGTAGAAATCAGTGATGAACTAGTGATGAAGTAGTGATGGCTGCAATGGTTCTCCAAAATGAACAGAAAAGTGAACCATACACAACCGATGATGAAGATGAGATGACAAAGCAATTGATGAATTCAAATGAAAACATCAAATGATGAAATGAAACCAATTGACAAAAGCAATTGATGAAATCAACCAAAAACCGGATGATGATGAAAGTGAAACTCGATCAAAACGATACAAGTGAAACTCAATCAAACCGATTGAGTGAAATTGAATAATGATGAAGCTTCTGAATTTCAGAAGTGAAGAAAAATGATTGAACGAAACATTTCAATCATGACTCATGAGAATGAGAATGAAATTGGATACTCAATCAAACCGACTAAGTGAAACTCAATTGAGTGAAACTGAAACAATGATGAAACTTCTGAATTTACAGAAGTGAAAGAATGACTGAAACTAAACATTCCAATCATGAGAATGAAAATGGAGTTGGATACTCAATTTGAGAACCAACACAATGAACAGAGGATCAATATGGATCAATTATGATGAAGATGAAACAGAGATGACAAAGTCAAAAATGAAGAATATGTTTTGAATTTATTCAATCTTGATGAAATCTGATGAGGATGAAATCAGATTGACAATGATATTCATGTCATAAAACTGATTTAATGGAAGACAGAAACTCAAATGCAAGAATTACAGATTTGAATTTGATAATGACGAATCTGATTTGGAGTAATTTGAAGGCGCCTACTGCAGCACCACTTCATCATCATGAGAGCACGGGACCTGTAGCGTGATTGCTGTGAGATGAACCATGATGAGGCTACGGATTGAGAGGCCGTGTATCTGGACGGGGATGCAAGTCGGAGTCCCGGTGGATTTCGCGACAGAATCACGGCGGCTTCTGAGGACGAAACAAATCGAGCCGACGAGGACGTCTTTGATGCAGGAGACGACAGATCTTGAACGAGACTCCAGATGTTTCACTGGAGACGAAATTGGATGAGATCTGGAAGAGAAACTTGTAGTTCCATCTATTTGACGGATTCGATCGAGTCCAGTTCTGATGAGCTTGGAGACTATTTTGAACATTTTCCTTAAAACTATATGAAATTCGTATAGTTTATTAATTAGATAAAATAACATTTTAAATAAATATTTTATAAAATAATTATAATAAAAATTATTTAGTTAGATAAATCTAATAAAACAAATTTGTATCAATTTCATTTAATTAGTGGTCAAAATTTATCAATTTTAACTACAAAAAGTCAAAACTAGATGAATACATAGAAACAGAGGTAATATTTTTAGTCAAATTAAACGAATAAAAAGATCGAGGTTTGAGATACGGCGAGATGACGATTTGGTTCTCCATCCCACTCAGCGTCATGTCACTTTTTGTCTTTCCCATCACAGCTCATCACACCACCATTGCACTACTGTGGTGTGGATCGCGCCCTTTTTTTCTAAATCATAATTAACCTAAAAATAAATAAAATTAAATATATCAATCAATAAAATTAAAATTACATTGATCCGATTACAAAAAACAGAATTGAAAAAATACAAGTTTAAAACATACAACTAATAAAAAAATATAATTATTCATCATTTGAAAATGGAGGAGCATATTTCCACAAATGCTCAACTAAATCTGCACGAAGCTAACAAGGAGACCACACCGTTTGTTTGACTCAAAATACTATCAAATGTGACCTTGTCTTAGAAATAATATAAAGGTCACGTTTTTGTTAGCACAAAAGAATACTCCATCCATTCCATTTTAATTGTCTATTATGACTTTCTTGGTACATTGAAAAATGAATGAATGTAGAAATAAAGTATGTCTACATTCATTAATTTTTCAATGTATCAAGAAAGTCATAATGAACAGTTAATATGAAATGGAGGGAACCTACAAGCCACCTCAATGTGACAATGTGTATCCTAGATTATACGGAGTATATTTCAAACTTTGTAGGCCTTTGTTACTAAAACATTTTAAGAGAAAATTTAAGTTTATTACGACATGAATTATTTCTCGCAATCACCATATCATCTTTGACTCTTTGTAGACAAACACACGTTCTCGCCCAACACCAAAATTTATCTCTTATTGGTACAAGTCATTACTCGAAATAAAAAAGGAATTGATAGTATTTTGAGATAAAGGAAGTGACAATAACAAAAGAATTTATACTCACAATAATAAGTGTGTAAATTAGGTACACAACCAAAATATTTCATACGTATAAGAATATTATCTCACCAACTATTTAATTTGACAATACTTTTTCTCTATTTTCTTTTTCCTAAAAAACAATGTAAATGACAAACTCGTCCTTCTTCCCCCTTTTCCTAGAAAGTCCATTTCCAGATCTTCACACGGACATTGGCCTGGCAATTCACGTCCGGGGCGGTGGCTTTCGCCGGCGACCTCCCGGATGGGACACTCACGCGGATGCCGCCGCAGGTGACTCTGACGCCGACTTTGTTAGTTTTCAGGCTTCCGACCTTCACTCTGACCTTAGTATCCAACCTTATCGTCACCGGAAGGCTCTTCTTCGACTTCAACTTTTTTATATCTCCGGCGTCGAGCGTCTTCCTGGATCTGGCGATGGTGGATTTCAGAACTGTAGTATTTTTGGTGCCGTGTTCGAATTCCCGAATAGATCCAGATCCGAGATCTACTTCGTCGGAGAATGCGGAAATTGCGACCGGATCGTAGACGTAGACGACCTTTTTGTTGGGATTACGGGCCGAAATCGAGATCTCGAGCTTCGAGGAGAGCGCGGTGGAGGTGAGGTTGAACTGCGAGAGGCGGAGCGAGTTCACGGCAAACGTGGGGCGTTGGGGGCGGTACAGGACCCAAAACGCTGCGGCGGCGATGGCGGCGAGAAGAAGGAGCACGGCGATGAGGAAGGTGGTCCAGAGACAGCAGCGGCAGCAGCAGCCGCGCTTGTGGCGGCGGGGTGGGGGTTGCGGGCGGTACACTGGGCGCGCGGCGCTGTAGGGTTGAGGTTTTGGGGTTACACCGCCGCCGGCATCGGGCTTGGACGTCGGGTTAACTTTGTCGTGGGACATACCTCGTGCACGAGAGATCTCCGGCTCTAGGTGAATCTATAATGAGCGCGGCGGGGGGTTTGGCGGTTGCCTGAAGAAACGGAGAGGGGAGGGGAGAAACGTGGACCGACGGAAGTAGAAAAAGAGAGACTATTTATTTATACAAAAAAAAAGAAAAAAAAAAGAGAAGAAGAATGATTGAAGCTTCACACGCTTTAGGATTAGCGAGTAATCAGTCTCTTTCACAAACTGTAATGCTAAAGGTTGATAATTAGTTATGAGAAATACTTAATTCACACACAAAATGATTACAAAGTTTATAAATTTATCTTTTGTGAACTTTAATTAAAAATAAAAAATCTAAAAAAAAATTTAAAAAAATTTAAACTATAAATGATAAGCTTCTGAATTTTGTCATCATTTTATTTTATTTGTGTACTTAGTATATTGTCCAATACTCATTCTCTATTAAACAATCATTACCAAATTCATTCTTAATACTCCTTTTATTCCATTAACTACATAGACATATTTTACGTTACTTCAGTAATTTTTTTATGTAGCAATAAGGCAATAAAGTGCCGTTAATGTGTAATAGAGGAAATACACATATTATCTACTCCATCCGTTCTTAAATAATTTACACATTTTATTATTCAAAAATCCTAGAAATTTTGGTTTATTTGTGTAATTTCATTGAATATTAGATAAAATAAAATATTCTTGTAATATCTTATTTTAGATAACTTTTGATGCACTTTTTGAATGTGTAAGTTTTATTTTTTATTTAAATATCAATCTTTAAATAAGATGCTTTAAAAAAAGGATCTTAATTCGTTTTACACGAAGAGAATGATTTAGGGACGAAGGAAGTATAAGATTTTAACAACAACCAACCTCATCTATGGGATAGGTTATGTTTAGCTTCATTGTTTAGTTTCAATATTTAAAAATGTTATTCAGCAAATTTCTTTTAGCATTTTCAAAATTAATGTGTACTGTTGAAAAAGCTATTTCAGACGTTAATCATAAACATTGTTTTGAAACGGAATCATAGTAGTAGCATGAATAATCTCATCACAAATCATAATTCTTCATGATTTTCTACCAAAAATTATACAGTGCTGAGTTTTTTTTTAATATTTCGTGCAAGAACATCAGATGATGTTATGTTTTTTATTTTGCTATTAAAAATAATTCATGTAATTTCAGTTTAACCATCAATGACAATTTAAAACATTAGATTCCTTTCTCCAAACTTAATTTATTAAAACTCGCATTTTAAAATTTAATTAAAATTAGAGCAATTTTAGAGAATAAGTAGTAGTAAATTAAAAATAATAAAAGGAAAAGATATTCATTACTTGTAAGAATTACGAACTATATATAGATTTTGTCTTAGACATGCAACCGAATCTTTAGAGTTACTATCCGATTATCAAATTAACTTTATTATTATAACTATATAATTATATTATTATTATTATTACATATTTTCAGCTATGGTTTGTTAAAATAACACTAAGGTGCTGTTTGGCAACTCCTGAATCAGTAAGTGCTGAAGCAGTAAGATGTCTAAGATGTCTGAACCATTAAGTGCTGAACTAGTAAGAGGTCTGAACCATTAAGAGCTAGTATATTGCTTAACTATTCAGAGGTAAATGTCTGATCAATTCAGATAAGAGGTCTTAACCATTCAGACTCTGTATAATACTTAACCATTCAGAGGCAAATCTCTTAACCATTCAGACATCTGAACCATTAAGAGGCTGAAACAAACAGTCTGAACCATTAAGTGCTGAACCATTCAGACATCTGAACCATTAAGAGGCTGAAACAAACAGCCCCTAAGTGCTTTGAACGGCCATGTGGCATGAGCATAGTTTTCAGAATCAGACCAGCGATCGAGCATTCGAGTCGGTCGAGCTACTGGTTCCTCTATATATAGACACACACATACACACACAACAAAAAATACTTCCCCTATTTAAAAATAAGTTATTTATGATATATGACTAAAGTTAGAATCAATTTGATTAAACTTGATGTAAATATGTAATCTACCACAATGTGTGTGGGCTTTGGAGATGGGCTATTAAGTTTCGAGCAATAATGAGTTTACAATTATGGATACATACACGTTATCCCATTTCAAAATTGATAAATCAAAATATATGAAATTGACAAAATTGAAATTGAATTTGAAATTTTACAGAATTGATTTGTGAAATAGAATTTTCCAATTCCAATTCTTTTTTGATACTACTAATTCCAAGCCACATATTTTTGTGCTACCAAACAGTAGAATTAAAATAATTATCTCCAATTCAAATTCCATAGTTTGAATTCCATGTACAAAATAGAGCCTCAGAGTAATTTTCAATTTAAATCAATACCTTTAATGTATAGTATAATTAAGCAGCATTCCGTTCAACTTTTTTTCCCTCCTTATTACTTATTCTTATTTAATTCAAATTAGATCAGATCAAATCCAATAAGATGAGATCAAATCCAAACAGAATTATTATTATTGTTATTATTGTTGTTGTTGTAACCTATTATTGTTATCAACTTGTAAGAGCACTGGTAATACCTTTGAAGTCCCGGGGCTTCAAACCGGGGCTTCAAAATTTCTCTCTGTCACGTCAGCTTCAACTTACACCAAAATTCACTGGAAATGGGTTTGAAGCCCCGGGGCTTCAAACTGGGGCTTCAAACCTTTATTTTTTACATTTTTAAATATACATCTTCTAAATTTAAATTAATAAATTTAAATTAATTTATTATTTAATAATATTGAAACACGAATACAAAAAAATACATTCATTAAAATAAAAAAACGACAATATTAAAAAAGATATATTAATTAAAAAAACTAAGGTAAATTATATTTCGCCTTGATCTCTCTTTGTCTTTGCTATCATCCGTTTGAAACCCGACAACGTAGAAAGGTCAGTTTTCATGATTTTAAATAAAAAAATTACATTCATTAAATAAAAAAATTGCATGTATTATAAAAAAACTACATTAATTAAATAAAAACATTACATTCATTAAATAAAAAAATTACATTCATGAAAAAATAAATAAAATACTTGAATAATAAATTTTTTTTAAAAAAATGATAGATAGAGAGATTTTTGTATTTGTATTGAATTTTTTAAAAAAATTAAATTTAATTTATAGAGAAGAAAAGAAGAAAAAAGAGGGAGAAAAAGGAAGGAAGAAGGCGTGATAATGCCTTCAAACCGCGTCAAACCTTTAACGCAAGTATTTTAACGCCCATTTAACGGGGAAGGGTGGCGGTGTTTCACGCCCCCCAGGCGTCAAAACTCGCCTAACGCCCCTTGGCGTTAGCAGTATTTCCACTGCTCTAAGAAGGAATAGATGAAGCCATGGAGGAATATGTCTGGTCATGAAAAAGGATAGCACCCACCCTGACTTATTATTATTATTATTGTTATTGTTATTGCTATTGTTGTTGTTATTATTATTAGAATTTAGATCAGATCAAATCAGATCGGATCCAATGAGATCAAATCACATACAAACAGACCAGATCAGGTCAAATCCATATATATCAGATCAGATCAGAACAGAATTTAAAAAAGTCCACCAGATTAGATTAGACTAATAGATCAGAAACTTATTCACTTTTTTGAACACATAAGTCTATGACAATTGTTAGAACTCCATATATGTTTATATATACGCTGTTTCACTATATATTTAAATGTAGAGAGTTATGACTCCCTACTCAAAAGAGTGACCTTCATATGATTGGGTCTTTTTCGTAGTTCACTTTTTTTGGGTTCATATTCATACACTAAAAAAACAAAACGCAAAAGCGTTCAACGATTTCATCGGCGCTAACTGCAGGGCGCTCCTCCCTCACAGCGTTCAACGATTTCATCGGCGCTCTACTCACCAAAATTCTACAGGGAGAATATATATGTTGTGGCGCCTATTTGCACTCGATTCAAGCCGCAGTGTACACACAAAAATTGCTTTTCATCCGTTCAGAGCTCGTAGGGAGGAATCTGAAAATTTGGTGGTAAGATCGAAATTCAATATTTTGAACTCTTTTTCTTCTTAAATCGGTTCAATGTATTGTTATTGTTCGAGTTGTTGTTTGGAATTTTCCCCAATTCAATTGTTTGTTTGGATTTAGCCCTAATTGTTCCACTAGTAGGGTTCTAAAATTCTAAAAAATAGTCCGTAAATGGATTGTGCTGAACTGTACATCTCAAATTGAATTTATTTTAGTAATTTATTAGTTTTTTCAAAGGTTGAATTTCCAAAAGTTCAAGAATCAAAACGCTAATCACTAACTTTGGGGCTAACAGCTAAACACTAATTCTAAACTCTAACGTTGTTTGTACACAAGCATTTAAGTTTAGGATGTGGCTCATTTCATTCATATAATGATCAGATTCATTATTTCTATAGCATTTTTACTACTCTTTTCGTCCCTAAAGGTCTTTTGTCTTTCTTTCTTAATTTGTCTCCAAATACTTTTTTCTCTTCTATTTAAAAATCACTTTTAGCCCTATTAATTCTTATATTACTTATTACATCATAATTAATAATCTGTCAATCACATTATACTTTTATCCATTACATCAAAGATATTTTTAGAAAGCCCGCCAACACAAATGTATCTCCCCTAGATTAGACTTCGTAAAAGTCAAAACATGAAGAGAGATTTAGAGACGGAGGGAGTATTTTATTAGTACATGTTTTCATTTTAACACATTGCAAACTCGAGCTAAATTACGATAACGAAAATCTCAAAAAAAAAAAAATACTATTATAAGTACTTATGTGCTAATATTTAGACAAAAGCTAGTTTCTTAGAATCTTAGAAAAGATGACTAAAATTACTGAATTTTAGAAAATTAAACATGTAAGACTTTTTTCATCTATCTATGAGTATCTATTTACAAGATCAAAATTCTAATATAGCTGCAAAACACACATGAAATGTCACTATTATTTCACTAGTTGTGATTCCAAGAAAATTTAGTGGCACAATTTGTAGGAGCAGATGATCGATGTATAACAGGTTGTTAATTTATTATCACAATAAAAATCACTCGGGAGTACATTTCAAGGAGGCAAAAAAAGATACATCTATCATCATAATGTTTTTATGTCAAATACTTATATATCTTTGTACTCTATGGGCCCGTTTGGTATTAGCTGTTTTAAGCCCAAACGCTGCGTTTACACTCTTTTGCGTTTGGTTGACCTATTTTTTTTCCAGCGTTCTTCTTCTCTCTCATCCTCCCGACTCTTCCGCGCGGCTAAACGCAGAAAGCTCCCACCCTCCAGCGTTCTTCTCCTTAATTTAGCGTTTGAGATCAATTTTCCTCTTTTACCCATGAAAATTTTAGAGGGAAATTTTACCGCGTAATCTTATATGCTTCCCGAATAAAGCCACGATTTGGGGATCACAAAAATAGGGTTCTTGAGCAGCTCGATGGAGGCCTCAGATTCTTTGCAAGTAAGTATTTCAATTTTTTTATTAATATGATATTTGTAGGGCCATAGAATTCTTTACTCATGTTTGTAATTTTTTATTTTAAAAAGTATTTTAGATGATTTGAGTGGTATAGTAGTATAATATAGTCTGTTTTTTTTAAATTTGTATGTTTATTGGATTATTAAACAATTTCTTATTGAAATTTAAAGGATAGGTATTTTTTTCTTCAATTGATTACGTACAATTCAATCATGATGTGAAATATATAATGCATTTGTTATGGTTAATTGTCTGGTGTGATATACAGTATTAGTACTTTGGTTGTGTACTTGTGTTTAGTACTTTAAATCATGGGACTCTGTAATGAAATAGTCAAGATACAAGAGATAAATTATTCTAGTAATTTCAGAAATTCTGTTTTTTTTTTTTGTGCCCAGAAAACAATACTAAAAAACACTACTGCCAAACATATATTCTTGTTTCTGCTTTTGGGAAATTAAAACTGAAAAATAGGAAACTGTCCGCAAAGGGCACCTTTATAATCAACCTGGATACTTGGTTAAAGGTGAATAATCAAACCTTAATAGCAGCCACTGTTTTGTGCTTGGCCTTGGAAGATTCAATTTTAGTTTTCATTCCATACACTCTCATTTTCCTTGCCGGTTTGTTGGTTGGTTTTGCTGTGCAATATTGTTTCACTTGAATATGCTTGGGAAGGTGCTTTGAAGATTCCTTGCATTTATATTAACTTTGATTAGTTTATATGCAGCACCAAAACTTTATCTGTTTATGGTTTTATCCTCTTAGTTATCATATTAGGGTCTTAGTTAGATTTATTAGAAGTGTTGTAGAAATATGAATGTACTCATAGGGGCGGAGTGATGTATTCGGGGTTGCTGTTTCAGCTTTCATTTTCAACAATGACTTACCTAAGCACAGTTGTGATTAAGCCAATAATTTTTAAAAGGTATTGAGGTTTTTGTGTTTTGGGTTACTGAAAGAAAGAAAGAAAAAAAGGTCTTATCATATAAAGGGGTAATGAAACAGGGAGTTAAAGTGTTAAATCTGACTTGTTGTGCATATTTTTGACTAGTTGTATGCAAGATTTGTTTTGTTTGATCAAATATCAGCCGTCCCCCTGCATTCACTTGAGAGATTGTGTTGGTCTTTTGATTTTTATAAAACTTCAGATAAATGATTTGCTAATCCCTCCAAAAATGTCCATCCAAATAGATGACTTTGCATAACTACATTCGTCGACATGCTGGTAGCAAAGATTATGATTTTTCAGAGTTTGAAGACAAAGATGATGAGTTCGAGGAAGATTCAGATGATGAAGAAAGTTGTAGTAGTCATCGAAGAGGAAGTAATGAATCCGCAATGAATTCACTCAAAGATAAAATAGCAGACAATTTACTGAGATATAGAGTTAATCTCTAAATCTTTTTTAAGCAAATTCAATAACTAATTATTTCAAAAATTAAATATGTTTAGTTTTTCTTACATAATGTTCAATTCTTATGGTCTTCTAAAGCATGTATTGTTTCGGTGTGCAATAGTTCATTGAAGTTACTTTTAGTTCAATTTATTTCATACTTGCACTTAACTGTTTTTAAAAAATAACTACAATAACAACACTATTTGACCCGAACTAGGTTGTATGAAAGAAGAGGTAACATGATTTTTATTTTATCAAATTGATAACAAAAATTAAAAATGAAATAACTAAAACTTGACTATGTAAATAATAAATATATAATTTAATTTGCGACAGAGAGAATTTATTCTTGGTTCATTTGTATTCCTTTTTTTATTTACAAAAACGCATCCATTTTTCTATTCACTCCTAAAAATTATTTTCATATTTTGCTAGCTTAAAAAAACATATTAAAACAATGGTAAAAAAGTGTCCCAAATAATATTAAAATCAACAAAAAGTTTAAAATTTAGGAGTACATGTCGAAATGGATGTTTTAGTAATTTACACTACATTAGCTTTTTTAAGTGATCAACTTCCAAACGATAAAAAATCAAACAGCTAATCATCAACTCTAATGTAAACAGCTAATCTCTAACTCTAAACTCTGACTCTTAACTCTAACTCTAAACTCTAACGTTGTTTCCAAACGGGCCCTATATATAGATGGCCGCCTATCCTAAAATTATAGAGCACCCGTTACCTGGTAGGAATTACAAATTAATGAATAAAATAGACATGCACTTTTATCACAACCCAAACACCACTCCAACTAAAATTTAAGATTAAAAAGAGAGGAAAAAAAGAAAAGAAGAAAAGGTATATTATATTCCATAATGATGCATCTTCGTCCACTGCCTCCTTCTCCTTTACAAACCTGCAACATTCTTTCCCAATCTCTCTCTTAATATCTTCACTCCCATGTATCTGCATCACCATACCATAGAACATTGAATCATGATGCAAATTTAAATAGAAATATTTGTACTAAATAGCACTAAAGTTCAAGTCATTTTTCTAAATAGCACTTAAACTGTTTTATTCTCTAAATAGCACTTAATAATGTCCAGTGATGGTGAACATTTACTTGAATAATGACTAAAAGTGCTTCGTTGGGAAAAAACACATATGATGCTATTTAGGGAAAGTCATTACGTACCGGCCCATCATCATGAGAGTGGCTTGAGGATTAGTGCCGGGGGACTGAGAAAGGACGGAGCTATCAACCACACGAAGCCTATGGACGCGGAGGACCCGAAAATCGGGGGAGACGACCTTGCCGACGTGGCAGCCGCCGTGGTAGTGCCAAATGGTGACGACAGTGTCCTTGCAGAACTGCTCGACCGAGCGGGAGTCGTTGGTGTGTCTGGGTATCAAATTAACGTTAGCTCTGGCGCTCATCTTCAGCAGCCGGTCGGCCGTCTTCTTGTCGCACCCAGTGTAGTTCGCGAACCGTTTGGACTTGACGATCTTCTCGACGACCCGGATCCCGGCCACGCATTTCTTGAGGTCCTCCGGGTGGGCGAAGTAGTTGAATGTCACCGCCGGGTTGTCTTCCACGTTTGTGTTTTTGATCTTCAGGTGCCCCTTTGACAACGGCTTTGCGATCTTTTCGAGTATGAAACCTCCTCTGAAGACTTCATGTGGGAGATTGTTCTTGTTTCTCTTGAAGGCTTCAATTGCTTCTTTGGTTCTTTGCTTTGGTGGAATTGTGGAAAGCTGTCCTATCTGCATACAATTCAAATCTATCTATCTATCAGGATATTAAAATATTTTTTAAAAAAATGGTATCAGAGTTTTGTTGACTCAAACCTCTGCAGAAGTAATGCCATGGTTGCAGTGGATGCTATCGGGGGACTGCCCAAACCCGCTGCTGGCCTCAATGTAAACACCCATCTTAGTGATCCCCACCGTTTGTATGAGAGAGAAGGGCGCAGCGTGTTTCAATGGCACGAAGATGGTGTTCAGAGGGTTGTCCGCCATGCCCTTCCCGACGTTGTCATTCTCCAACACCACGGGAATCTTCAGCCCGTCGAGCTCCGAGCGGGGCCCAATCCCGCTCAGCAACAGGAGCTGCGGGCTCCCTATGGCCCCGCTCGTCACGATCACCTCCCCCCCTCTCCTTCTGGAGAGGAAGGCCTCATGCTGGTCCCCGTTTTCGTCGCGGAACACGGCTCCCACCGCCCTCGGCCTCCTCCCCGACGTGTCGAACGCGACCCTCTGGACGGTGGCGTGCACCAGGACCTCGAGGTTCGCGGGGTTGGCGGAGGCGAGGAGCTCGGCGGCGGTGTGGCGGCGGCCGAAGCGGTCGAAGGTTGTTCCTCCGACCTTGGTGCCGTAGACGTGGTCGTAGGTGAAGCCGTTGAAGGGGGAGATGCCGGCTTCTAGAAGGCCGTCGGTGAAGGCTTGTTGCCATGACGTCAGCTTGGGCCTGTGGACTATTTGATTCTCTATCCATTGGTAGGATTCATTCACCAGCTTCGCCTCCCATCCCGCTCTCTTGATGTAACTGTATTTCATATGAAAATGAAATTTAGAAATTACACGTAAATATTTGTTAAATTTTGACTATTTGCATTTAAAATTAGTTACTAGATTTATCTTTGTAAAATATTTTTAAAATATTATGTTACTCCGTATATCTCATTAATATACCATGTAATTTTGGAAATGGATACTTAAGTTCTACTTTTTGCTATTGGTGCTCCAAATTATACTATACATGGGAAAGAGGTAAGTAATGTACTTTGTAAATATTCCTGTAATTTTAGATGCATACTACGGAGCACATGTTACCAAGGGTCCATTTGATGAGTTTTGGAGATATGATAAGTTATGAAATTTTGATTAGAAGAAATGATATGAGTTCTAACATCTGAAACTAATTTATTTGGAAAGGTTCAAAATCATAATTTAATTAGTGATAAGTGTGGATGACCGACAACGGGGATGGTTGACAGTGACAACGGTAGCCAGTGGTGGAGAATGATCAATGGTTGAAAGAGATGTCAAATCTCCGTACTGATATCTCTCAAATTTAGGATATATCAAACCCCTCGATTTGAAGATATCAAAACTCTATATTTTATTTGCTCACTAAATACATCTAATGATGAAGGTGTAATGTGAGATGAGGCAATTAGTTATAAATGAGGGGTAGTTGTGGGCGTTGTAAATGAATGAAACACAACTGTGCAATATCCCGAAACGTCTCGTTTGCCTTTAATTTCAACAATCTCTTCTCGGTTCACTCTATCTCTATTTTCCCAAAGCAACAAAGTGGTGGAAATTTGGCACCCCACCTCACACCCGCCCAACCACTTGCCACATTTAATTTGTGACTTATGGGTAAATATCATACATAAGTTTATCTTACTAATAAAATTTATATTTATATATAGTTATTTTTTATGATAATATTTTGATATTTCAAAATTACGTTTCAAATATAACTATTAACCAAGAAGAATCAAATGCGATGATCAAATTAGGACGGAGTGGTCAATCGTACAGACAGCGATTACTTTTCCATGTTTTATCGAAATATATTATTATGGACACAATATAAATAATGCGGTGGAGTAACTAATGAGTAACATGGTTGGGAATTGAACATAAAAAATTTGACGGTGATTGGTTTCGTTCATTGAATGAGCATTTTGTCACAAATGGTATGCAACATGTGGCATATGCGGCTTTCTTTGGGAAATTTTGCTAAAAACATAATATTCGTAATATATATACTCCGTACGAAAAATCTAGAATTATACGGGTAATTAATACTCCTTCCGTGATAAAAAGATTGTCACACTTCGCTATTCAAAAATAATGTGAATTTTTGCTTATTTTGTATTTTCATTGATTGTTTGATAAAATAAAATACTTATTAATTCTTGTGTTGTAGAAATTATGTAAGTTTTATTTTTTATTTCTATATCAATTTTTAAATAAGATGAATTAAAAAAATTTAATAATTTATTTCAATTCTCTTAGCATAATATTGACATTATTCTAACACTATCTATAGAGATTAGAAATAAGTTTTTTCAATATATTCCATCGATCACCCGTACTTACTAGAATTATTATCACCCATCATTGTCGTATTAATTTTTTTTGAAGGTGTATTAATTACTTCATTTTGATTGGTTAATTCATACGGAATACTTGGTATACACTAGTAGCAATCAATCTCAATCTGTTGCGCCTATTTTGTTTCCTTTTTTTGGTTCGATTTAACATATTATCCACAAATTCATTTATAGAAAACACATGCATCGTTCACAAGATTTTTTTTCCTATCTTCCATATAAATATTTACGACACAAAATCTATTCTAAAATCTCTATATATTCCTGGTCAAAATGGGCACAACAAATTAGGACAACTTTCAGTAAAATGTAGAACTATTAAAACCAAAAATGACGCTCAATATTTAAACCAATTACTAATTTTAAAAATCACGAATCTGGAAAAAAAATGGACTATAAGAAAAAAACAAAAATACCAGTTTTTTTTATTTTTTATTGAAACATTGTCAAAACAATGTGTAATTATAATGACACGTGGACTCTCACTGACTCCCCATCTAATTGTTGTATACCACCGTTCACCGTTTGCCGACTCAACCTCATCAACCCCCTCCTCCTCCCCCAAAAAAAACTCGATTACTCTATCCATCGGTTTCATAAAAATATTCTTATTTTGACTTGAGAAATAAGGAGTATTTATTTACGGTTGCTTTTCTAATTTTGTGTTTGATGTGATAAGTAAAAATATAAGATGTGATGGATAGATTATTAGTGAAAAAATGATCTGATAAGTAAAGATAGGTGTAAAAGTGATTTTTTAATAAAATAAGTGTGTTTTAAAGAAAATATAAAAATTGATAGAGAAAATATTTTAAGAAATGGGAGGAGTAATAAATTCTCACTGAGCCGTTTAATGTTATGATCCAGAAAAGAGGCCATGTTTTTGGTGTTCATAATATTTTAAATACTCTTATATCCCAAATTTTAACTGATTCTTTTAATTAATGTTCACATATTTTAAGAAAAATATAAATTTTTATGATTGAATTAAAATGTACACAGAGCAAAGAGAATAATGTGAATTGCTCGATACATACTTTAAAAGCCATCAAAAGCTTATTATTATTTTTAATTATATTTTGAGACAAGCTAAGTATGAAAATGAGAAATTTTTTATAGAAGGAGGGAGTATTTATTGATTAATATTAATTACACAATAAATATATAATTTCTCATCAGTTTTTAATTTCATTTCACATTCAAAGTGTTCTAGCTGGTCAAATTTTCAATATTAAAAAAAAACATTGATAAATCACATTAAAAATATAAAAAAAAATTGAGAAAGAAAATTACTCCCTCCGTCCCGAAATAGATTACAATATTCTCTTACATTTTTGTCCCAAAAAGAATTACAAAGTCAATAACTTTACATTTTTACCCTACCACTCCTACACTATTCACACACTATTCATCCATGTGAGTGGAAGGATACTTGGGGGATTTGGGGGGTAATTTGGGGATAAAAATGGAATATTGTAATCTAAAGTGGGACGAAGGGAGTATAATGAAGGCGGGGTACGGTTGGGAGTAGGTGGGTAATAAATTAAATATGGAACAACGTACGTAGGTACCTTGGGCTAGCTCGAGTGTAGAAGCCGGCATTGATGGCGGTGCCGCCGCCAAGAACTCTGGCCCTAGCGTTGTACACCCCGTCGGTGGAGACGAAGATCTGGGAGGCGGAGGACGGCGAGGTGTCGGCCAGGGAGATGTGGAAGTTCTCGAGGAAGGAGACGTTGGCGTTGGCAAAGGGGACGCCGCCCCTCTCCAGCAAGAGGACGCTGAAGTTGCGGGACAGCGTCGCCGCCAGGGGGCACCCCGCCGTGCCCCCTCCCACTATAATGTAATCGTACGCCTTGCTCCCGCCGCCTCCCACGGCGGAGCTCGACGACGACGCCGACGAGGAAGTGTGGGAGCTTGCGCGTTTTATGAAGGGGTATTTCTCCCTCCAGCTGATGAAATCATTCTCCCCGCCGCCGCCCCTCCCTTCTCCTACTCCTGCGTGCATATATAAAAGATCAGAGATTATTACTTAAATCATTAATATATATGTACATACGGGTTGGCTTCAAAAAATGAAAGGACGTATATATATATAAATAAGAAAAGTACCTAGGGAAGAAGGGAAGAAGAGGGAGAGAAATGAGGAAGAGATGATCAGAGGGAGTAAGAGTGGATGCCCAACCAGAGCCATTGGACAGACAGAAAGAGAGTCAAATTGATTATCGGATTCCGAGGAGAGCTGATGAGATAAATCTAATCCTCTCTTTCTTCCTCTCAGCTCGCCGTCGTCGATGGATGGATGTTCACAAGTAAGTAAGTACAATGTGCGTGGCTTGTGTTGGTTGGGCCTTTATAAGTAATTTATGATACATGGGACTGTGTGCGTAGCTACGTGTTGGTATTTATACTCTCCTACAAATCAAAGGAAAATAGAAAAATTGAAGGCTGGCTTTATTTAAAGGTGGATGGATCTGTGGCTCACTATTCTCCTTGTGGAGTATTTCTAGTCTTGAGATGTACTTGGTCCGTCCCTGAGTGTTTGTCCACTTTTGACTTTTGGAACTGTTCATTTAAGCACTTTGACTCCTCAAATTCTCTCAATGTAAAAGCCTAAAAATAGTCATGTGTGATTTTGTTTGATTCGTCTTAACATATAAATTATTAATATATAATTTTCATAATTTTTTAATATACAAGTTACAAGATAAAATGGATTAAAGAAGTGCATTGGATGGTGTGCAAAAAAGAAAGTGGACAAACACTCAGGGACGGAGGGAGTATGTACTCTCTTCTCCCTCTTGGTTTTTTCAATTGTAATTTATACTCCCTCCGTTTGAAAAAACCCTTCCCATTTGATTTGAGGGCAAAAATAAGGAAGTGTTAAATTATAGTTGATTTCCAATTTTGCCCCTGATGTGATGGGTTAAAGTAAGATGTGATGGATAGATTATTAGAGAAAAAAGTATGATGTGATGGATAGGGTATGAAAAAGTAAGGGTAAAAGTGGTTTTTTAATAGAAAGGAGAAGTATTTTGTTGGAAGTGGAAAAAATGAAAGAAGAAGTGTTTTTGAGAACGGATGGAGTACAATTTCTAATGTAACACTTTAATTAATTAATTAATTATATATATATATATATATATATATATATATATATATATGATATTTCAAAAGATAATAATAATGTTAATATTGAACTTATATCACATTAATTAAATGCATTTTTATTGAATTTGTGGTCAAAACTAGGAGAACCAAGATGGACAGAATAATTTAAATGATCAATAGGAGAATACAAAAAGTCATTACGATCATATATTGAATGAAAGAAGTGAGTTGTTTTATGTTTTGTACTCTCCTTCCCTGCAAAAAATTTTCTATTTTGACTTTTAAAGGATTTAAAAGGAAGGGTTTTTTGAGATGAATGAAAAAGAAAAGAAGAAGGGTTTTGTGAGACAGAAAAAGTATGAATCTCTTTGGTAGTGAGACTAAAAAGGGCAAACTTCATTCATTATACTCTCTCCGTCCCATGAAACATGGGAGTTTTGCTTTTTAGGAGAGATTTAAGGAGAGTGTATTTTGGTATTGAATTTTCAAAAATGTCCTTTGATGTGATAGGTAAAAGTATGATTTGATGGATAGATTATTAGTAAAAAGGTATGATGTGATAGCTAGTTATAGTATGAAAAAATAAAGGGTAAAAGTGACTTTTTAATAGAAATGAGAAGTGTTTTGTGGGACGGATAAAAAAAGAAAGGAGAAAGGTTTTATGGAACGGAGGAAATATTATCGTTCACTTGAAATTAATTATTAGTGTTTCATTTAACTTCTTTTAAATAATGGGAAATAAAAATAATATTTGGAGTATTATATTTGTGTGTGTGGAAAAGCAAGCTAGCAGCTTAGCTAGGGAGACTTTATACGTAGTCTTCGACAGCTCAGCCAGCTACCATGCAATAACTAAGGTACTCCATTTCTTCAATTCATTCTCTTCTTTTACGGATTAAAATTATAACATGAAAATTGTTACATGTAGTATTAATATACCAGAGACGAAATCTCATCCTTACGCTAATTGACTGAGATTATAATTTAATTTATTTCTTTTCAACTAATTATCTGGCCAGTGCTAAGAAGCCCTTGAGGATGGAGTGTTTTAATGAATAAATAAAAAGTGATGACCAGGCTGTCCATTTTAACTACATACGAACGTATAGTAGTAATTGCTAGATGTGCTCGTTGGGGTTTACATTAATTAGTTACTGTTTGAGTTTAAAGTTTTAACTTGTTCATTACTGTATATTTACGCGTACGTACGGTAATGTTTTAGTTGTCATTGGTCAACATTATGTTGTGGTTAACCTACCCCACAGTTATGATAAGGTGGCACTATATGAGTACATTCAAGCATAAGTAACACAAATGATAATTATTTGTGTGACACAGATGGTAATCATGGAAAATATGGGTGTACTATGATAACATCCATGTGGTGGCACTATAGTATTTTTCATCCCGCCAGCTATCCCTTACCTTTTTTTTTCAAAACAATCCCTTACCTCAATTCTTATATAGATTAAACTATTTACACCCACGGTTTTTTTATTTAACTTTTTCGCATTTTAAATTTTTGTATTCCTAACTTTAAACTTTAAATTTTAGTATTCGATCTCCCAATAATAAAGTATCTACATACAATTTGGTTTTGAATTTTGGGGAAAAAAATTATCCACTAAAGTCCTAATCCAGGAGACAATTAATATTCCTAACATGTTAGCCGGTTGTCTAGCACTACTCGTATACTTTAATTTGATGATGGTCGTGACTTTCACAAATCCATAAAATTCTTCATTGTATATATAATGAGGAAGCATAAAATTGCACAATCCTTATATGCTCCCTCTGTACTGAAACTATCTTCTCACTTCCTCATTTTTATTGTCCTAAAATTACCTTCTCACATCCTAAAAAAGGGTGTGAAATGACTATCTTATCCTTCCACTATCTTACCCTTCTCTCCCCCTCTTCTCTTCGTCCCTCTCTCACCGGTCTCTCCCCTCTTCTCTTCGCCCCTCTCTGGTCAGGTATGTTTTTTCTTTTTTCTCTTCCTTCCCGATACGATCGTGGATCTACCTTCTCTTTTTCTCTTTTTTTCTCTTCTTCTCTTTTTCTCTTCCTTCCCGGAGCCAACTCTTCCTCCCTTTTTCTCTTCCTTCCCCGATCTGATTGTGGATCTAATTTTTCCGCCCAACTTCAATGGTCAGATTTGTTTTCCGGTTAGATTTGTTTCTTTGCTGGATTGATTGTGCCTAACTTTAATCGGTCAGATCTAATCTTTTCCGTCCAAGTTCTCCCCAATACGATCGCAGATCTAATTCGATCAGATTTGTTTAGCTGGCTCCGATCGTCCGCCGTCACCATTCCAGTCGCTAGTGCCACCGCCGGCGTCACCAACCTCCATCGACCTCTCCCTGTGTTGCTATGCGGAAATCAAAAGAAGATTTGTTTCTTGAGATTTGATTTTAATTGAAGAAAAAAAAGCTTTGGTAATTTTTTTAAACTTTTGAAGTGGTTGTTTGAATTTGGTTAAATTATGGCATGAATTGTCTCTGCCGACTCACTCAATTGCCGCCGACTGATTCAATCGTCTCTGCCGGCACAGACTCAAAAATCTCAGTAAGTTCTGTGGGAAGGAGGGGTATTTTTGGAAGTCAAAGCCATAATTATCCATTCCTTAAAAATGGGCTAAAGTCAATCTGGGAAGGTCAATATAGGACGGAGGGAGTACCATTATTTTAATTGTGCATATAGTAACATACGATGTTTCGTTTGTAAAATATATACAAATTGATGATTTCTATTCTAATTAATCCCAATTAAAATAGTGTCATGAAATTACAACTATTTGGGATGATATAACTCTACAAATTTCTCTGTATGTAATAATTGCTAGGTATAAATAAAGGTAAACAATGTTGGCATGGTACAACGTGTTTTGGCTGGATGGACTGAAATTCTAAAATTCATAAATGCTCACATGTTGGCATAGCGAGTATTCTCCATCATATCCAAAATCAATACACTCCGTATACTCCCATAAAAGAACTTTAAGTTTGAATTTCACCTACTTTTAAAAAGTGATAAAAATAAGGAGTAAGAAATACTCCGTATGTAGTTAGATTTTTCTTTTTTTTTAAAAAAAATGAAACATTCTAAAATAAAATAAAATACGGAGCATGGGCAGGCTGAGGAAAGTGTAAGATGTCCACCCACACAAGGTCCCCAAACTTTTAGGCCAGCATATTGTTAAATGTGTATTATTCTAATTACTTGTTATTTTTAAATTTACTATAAATGTGTATTTTAATATTCAAATTATTTATAAAATAACGTGAAATGGCAAGCAAGGACATTGATAACAAGAAAAACCTACCTCAAGCAAAGCCAAGGACATGATGTTATATTATGCTCCTCGAAAGACAAAACTGAAGGCAATAAACACCACTGAATTCCAAATCAAATTGGGGAAAAAGGAAAATAAAAAAGAAAGAATGAAAGAATGAAGAAATCTCCTTGATTTGGCATGCTTTGGATGATCAAGGATGAAATGAAACCCCATGACCAAAAAAACAGGATTACTGAAACTTTTTATCCGCCCTGGGGCTGGAGAAATCAGAATTGGTATCTAGAGAACCCACCTCAGATGAAGAACAACTGGACGACGTGTCTCCAACGTGATCTTGATCAGCTCCACTCCTGAAGCTCCTGTAGGGTATATTACCTTCGGCCTGAGGGCTATTTCTTCTCCCCCTCCCCTGTCCTTCCTCTGCTAGCCGCCTGACCAAGTCCATGACTGTAGGAACGATCTTCGTGGATATAGATATAATCCCAGGAAGCTGTACAGTAGACACATGAAGAGTTTATATGCATAGAGAGAATGAAATGATCAGCTGCACCAGGCAACGGTAAAAAAAAGATTTGGAGTACTTAAACTTACAGCTCCATTTCGGAATTCGCCCGCGATGTCTAGTTGCACCCAGAGTGCTTTTAAAAGCAGGAAAACAATGAATATAAAGAGCAAGTAGAAAGGATTTCTGAAAAAAGAGAGAAAAACCAGTTCGAGTCAAATATGGATCCACAATGAGGTGGAAAAATAAGTAGAAGCTTGAACAAATTTGAAGTACCTTAAAAGTGTCATAAACTCGTTGAATCCCAAAACAATCAAGGCAAGAATTGCCCATGGAGGCGGCAACCAGTTATTGTTTCTCTTGCTGGCCTCCTGAGTATTGATGCACAAGTAATCACACCAAATTTCGTACAAAAAATGCATAGTATGCATGCCAAAAGCAAAAAAGAATTTCAAATATATACTCCTTGAGTTGTCTTGCCTGAGCTGAAATAGCTTGGGTGACTGTGTATTCTGTCTCAGTTTTAAATTGCCTCCACAAAGTCTTGCACTGGACGGGCGTGATCAATGTTTTTGAAGGATGAACCTGTTGCGAGTGGTATAATTCAGGTAGTCAAAGAACTAGAATATAGAGCTATAGGTAAATCAATGAAAAACATGTGAAAGAATAAGTTAAGATTTCAGCTAAAGCCCTGGCTTGGTTTAAGGGCTTCCTTTGGGGGGGAGGACGATGGAGAAGATATATATTCCTCCGAACTCCCATTGAAAGTTTTAGTTAGTAGAAACACCTCAAGTTAAACTTTATCCGATGAATGGTAAAGTACCCCATCCCAAGTGCTTGAGGCTAGAGGGTCAAATGATGTGATACTTTTGTTAGCAGCAGCCCCTGATTTACCATCCAATAGATCAAGCGTCAAGATTTTTGCAACGCTATCAGCTTCATCATCCAACCGGATCGCAGCCATGACTGAGAGTAGCTTCAGAGACTGCGACATTAATGAAGGAGAGTGGGTTGAAACATTCAAATGGAATCAGATCAGCTGTGTTCATGCAAACATTACTGCCTTACATTTAAACGTGCAGATTTGGTAATTGCCCTGATGTCTTCTTTTCCAGTCCAAACTCTAGGGATTGAGTCAGAGTCATGGCTAAATATTGATGAAAATCTGTAATAATAAGAAAAAAGTGGTCAGAAAGTGTTGAGCAAAGGGATTCCTGGTAAACATTTTTTTTGGGCATTATACCTCTCCTTCATACGGATCAAAACCCTTCCAGCTTCTTCCTTGGCCTTTGTTTCCACCACTTCTCTAGCAAAATCCTTCAACCTTGAAAGTATATCCCCCAGAGTCTCTTCATCCATCTTGAAACCAGAAAGTGCAGCAGAAATGCCATGGATTGCTGTTTCTATTTCACGTCTTAGCAGTTTTCTAATTGCTGGCCATGTGTCCTCATTAGCCCCATCCAATAGAGACTCAACAGGTCCAGACAATGCCTCATTCAGTTTTTTCTACATCATTTGAAGAGCACACAGTAAATCATATTCTCCGTATACGATAGAATTCACACAAAAATATTTAATCATGCCAATTTACCTCATAAAAGGTTGTCAGTTCAGCGAGCTTGGCAGCACGGACTGCAACAATATGTGCATCTACATCACGCCGGAACTTATCTTTTACTTTAGATGAGTCCCAATTAGCTTGGTCAATGGAAGCATCTGCAGAGCAATGTGTTACTTGCTTCACAGGCTAACCACCATAATAATTCTAACTCAATAATCTGCCAACTGTAATCTGGCAGAACTATACAGGATTGTCAAGTAGAGACAATGTTCAACTTTTCATTGGTCTTTAGAATACGTACCTTTGCATCTTTCATCAAATTGCACCAAACAAGACTCACTGCACTCCGAAGCAGCTTCAGCAAAGGCTTTCCCTCCACTCAATGCACTGCCAAATATTTCTTTGAATCTTTCCAAATCTTCGGATCGTATGTGTCCCAGCATGGATTGGTGAGATGGTTGGACAAGCTACAAGATAAACCTGAATTAGCTTGCAAGTAATAAATCCAAACCACACTATAACTCCATAGGAATAAATCCATAGATTTTAGTGTGATTCAAGACCTTAAAAACACATACATTTCTCTTCACACTTTGGACTCATTATAATATTTAAAAAAAAGTACTGCAACCGTAAATTACCTGCAGCAGTTTCTGTTCCAACTGTTTTCTTTTAGCCACTCTTACACCTTCATCAAAAAATGTCGCCTCAGCATCATATCTGAAGATGCAAAGACCTAGTAAGGTCATGTCCATATGACTTCCGCCGTTTAAAGAAATTAATTACTCCGGATACAATTTTAAAAGTCGAGTTTCATTTTTAAGTAAAATCCATGTAAATCCATGTCACAAGCACTTCCTATCATTTACTCCAAATAATATTTGAAATAAGTTTTAGGGGTCTTAGCATAGCATGCTAATCTTCAACACAATAAGTTTGCTTACTCAGACAGGCAAACATCCAGTATTGAACTGAGAATCTTCCCAAATCCTGGCACAGCATGAGATTGGACTGCCTTCTCTACTTGACACCATTCCTAGTATATGATCTCGTTAACATCAAGAGCTCAATAATAGTGTAGTTCTGCTGTACATGAAATGGAAGGAACATCGAGCACGATTCACCCAGTAAAAACATTCTAAAAATTAAAAATACCTCATTTGCAGTAAAAGCGGCATATTTTTCATTTGAAATTTCTTCACACCGTACAGTGGCTACCATGACCTTTGAATATTTATTACAACGCACGATCAAACCAAGATTCTAGAAAAATACTTTGAACAGATGTTCAGACTAATTTTTTTATAGGTGATAACAGACCTTGTGTGCTGGAAGATCAAGATCCTTGTTTTCCTTGATGATTTTCCACATCTGCTGTGCACTAAATGAAAAACCAGAAGCAGGAACAACTGCCCGCCTATCTCCAGCAAGCCCACCCGGTTCAATAGAGTGGACAAATCTCTGTCTTAGACTAGCCACCTCCATTAAAAGACAATTGAAAAGCAAAAAGAGATTAATGACCCACAATTAGTTGATCAAAGTGATCATTAAACCAACAACTAAAGCTTTAGTTACATGAAAACGTAAGATGATAAATTGAGAGAAATAGCACTGGATTGAAAAAAAAGACGAAAAGTAATTACCTGCTCTTTGAATTGTTCTTCTTTCTCTTCAAAACTATTAAGAGCCACAACCTCAACCTGATTAATGGTAAGTAGATTCCATTGGAACATTTATTATTTGTAAACATTATGTCAATATCGAGAGCTTACAGTTGTGACATAAGTCCATCTTGATGAAACTCACATTAAAAAATTCACTTAGAGGAGTCTCAGTGTGAGTTTGTGGCTTTGGGACAGAATCCCATATCTGAACCCAAAAAGTGAAGAATAATAGTCAACTGCAAAGCTGTGATGAAGATGATGATAGTGATATTGATGATGGTGGTGATAACAACAACAACAGCAACAATTAAGGTACCATGCAGTACCTTCTGAATATCTTCCCTCAAAACAGGCTCCAAATTTTCAAGAGGTGTCTATATAAAACACAGTTTTGAATCACACTCATTAAATTAAGCAGTCATATGATCAAATTCAGGAATTTCCACAACGCAAGAAGAAGATTAAAGTATCATACCCTTGTTTTATCGCGTATAACAAACATCAAAGTTGTTTTGCGAGGACTAAATAAACGCATCATGACCTGTTTGCGACATTGTTGATATAGTAAATCACCTTCCATCTTTTCTTATTGTAAGCCAAGAATGTACTTGTTGCATTGTACCTGGAAAACTGTTTTCAGTAGAGGCTTGTTTGCTGCTTGCTCACGGCCAATATCATGACACCACCTAAAGATTCACCCTTATCTACTTATGTGTATATAATTGAGAAATGCATATGTTTACCCAAAATAGGGTAAAGACAAACTTACATGTTAATTAGAACAATATCAGAAACAGCAAGGGCAAACAAGGAGCTTTGCTTCTCAAATGCTGTATCATCCTAATTAACAAAAACACAATACCAAATAAGAAACAATGCTCTTGTGCATCACCATTTACGATGCGCAATGAATAAGCTTATTTAGCCACCATACCTCTCCACGCTCTCTTCCATCAGTGCCTTCTAAATCCATGACAAGTGTGCAAGGCTCAATCCCAACACAACGAGCCATCCAAATTCCTTTTGTTGTTTGGGACCTAAGAATAAGAAGTAGATGAAACATATTCATTCTTAACACACACACACAAATGGCATGCTATAGGAGCTTGATGACCACTTGCCTTCCCCTAAAAGCATCCATCTCTTGAAAATTTGTATGAAATAGATGGTTTAACAATGTACTCTTTCCTGTTAAAATCACAAAAATAATAAGGTAGTTAAGGCATCAAAAGAGTGGACCATCAAATCAAAAAAAAAAAATGCAAAAGAAAAAAAGAATCTTAATCAGTTCAATGTGGGCTGTAATGAATATGAAAACAATTTTCATGCCAACCAAATAACAAATGTACTACAAATGTAAGAATTAGGAAGATTGTTTTCGAAAAACAACACATACCACTACTCTGTGGACCCATTATTGATACTACAACGTATGAAAGTCCAAATTCTGCTAGCCTAACTTCTTTCATGAAATTTTCAATTCCAGCAACATTGAAGTTACCATCCCCATCAATGAGTTGAGTTGAACAGCACCCCTCAGTTTCATCTGAAACAAGCAATTGAGATAGAAACTTATACTCAACATTGGGAATATAAAAGAAGTAAAAATTCATCATTAAAAAGAGGCACAATGATCTATATCCTCTGCTAACAACTTATGGAAACAAAAAAATGCATGCAAAAAGTTATTTAGAATCCTCCCTCAGTATTCAAAAGCTTGCTGTATGTTTCATGGTTTTAAGAGTAGACATGTAGGAGCATTGAATACTTAGTATTGTTAGGATCGAATCCACTCACACACTAAATCAGATGGAAAAGATGATGAAAAATGAGAGAGATTTGTAAAGCTAGAGAGAGAAAAGAGAACACGTGAATAACGTGGTTACACTCCGTGAGTAAACTTCCAAATGTATACAAAGCTTATTTCATTTTTATCCCTAAACTATTATGCTTAAGCTCAAACCAATGGAGACCGGGAAGAAACATTCAATCTCTAAACCATTCAACCTAATACAGTAACACGTAGTACTCCGTAATTCATAAGGCTTGCAGTAATGACAAAACCAAAACTGAAACAAATCTACTACACACCCATTACCAACCAAACTATGTTGCTTGTATAGTCCAAAGTTTAATACACCTCAATTAATCATCTCAATTTTTATCGTCCTCTTCTCCAACATATAAACAAACAGGAATGTTTATATGTATTAAGTGCAATTATGCGTTGATTTGGACCTTTTGGAGAACGGAAAAGAACTGGGTACCTCAACACAATGATATATATAAACTATGCAATGAATGATATTGGGAGAAACGGTCAGAAGCGTTATAACACAAAAGAAATTGATCGAAAATGATTGAAATGATGGAATTGATTAAAACCGGATCGTCATTAATTAAATGATTGATATTTCACACACATGCAACATACTTAATAATGAGGAAAATAAAGGAATCGAAACGAATGAGATCAGAGGGGATGAGGTGAAGGCGCGAACCCATCTGATTGAGGCGAAGCGGCTCTGATAATGGTGGCCGGGAAGAGATCAGATAAGAAATTTCAAAGGAAATTAAAACTAATAAGAATAATGCATTTGAATTTGTGTTTCTACGTTCGAACAGCTGGCGACATGGTTTGGAGAAGAAGACGAAGAGCAGAATGGCTCTTGTCCCGGCGACTTCGTTATTTTAACAGTCTTTAAAATATGCGGCTTGGCTTTCATCCTAGTTTTTTTTTTTTTTGCAGTGACTACCTGTATTTTTTTACCCTTATTTTATTAAAATAATGAATAAATATAGTGTGATTGACATATTAATTATAATGAGTAAAATTAATTATAATAAGTATGATATGATAAATTTATTAATACTCCGTAATTAGTAAGGACAAATGAAAGATTTTAGTACAAAGTAAAATATTGGAATAGAAAAAAGGGAACAATTTTCGTGACATTAAATGTCATGGAATAGGAGCATACGATCTTGTGTTTAAAAAATTGATAATTTACATGCCCTCCTAAGTCTTTACTTCCTATGTAACTTCCGTCACCCTCATTCTGGCCTGACCTGAACCCACCTCTTACTTCTTTCATTTGCATAAAGTGGCTCAAATTTAAACATTACTTAGCTCACTTGAGATTGAGCAGCCTTCGCATATGACTATTTAGTTCGATAGTACTTCTGAGTTACATATTGCTGCTAATTCTATTTAATGCATGTCTCGAGTTCTTGATTCTCAAGTTAATTGGGAATATCGACGTATCGTTATTACATGTTTCAACTTGATGAAACTCATAAAGGAAAGCAATAAAGTCACATTTTGATTGATTAGGATTCTATATGGCAGTGGTTTTTTCATGTCTGTTTGGTTTCCTTGTAGAGGGAGTCTTAGGTGTATTTATATAAATAATCCAGAGACTACAATTAATCTAATGTAGTATGTACTCCCTCCCTTCCTTTAAATTCTTCCCATTTTGACTTTGGGCTAAAATAATAAAGAAAATGTAATTTTAGTTAATTTTTCAATTTTGTTCCTGATGTGATGGATAAAAGTAAGATATGATAGTTTGGTTATTAGTGAAAAAAAATATGATGTGATAGGTAGAATATTAAAAAAATAGGGGTAAAAATGATTTTTTAATAGAAAGTGGAAGTGTTTTAATGAATTGAAAAAAAACCAAAGCGAAAAAGTTTTATGGAAGGGGGAGTAAAAGTATTTGCATATACTCTATCTTTTTAGCTTTCCTCTACCCTCTTACATCCTAGCTAGACACTTTAACTTTACGAAAAAAATAAAGTGTAAAACTTTTTAAATGACGTCTAAAATAAAGAAAAATGCAAAGAACTTTAACGGAGGGAGCGGGGCAGAATTTTTCTTTTAATTTCTTGGAGTGGAATTCAAGAGTACTCTAATTGTGAAATTGGCACTAAATAGGACTAAAACATAATGATTTTCTTAATGTAAGACTTAAACTTTTTTATTTCCTAAATAAGACTTAACAATGACCTAGTGGGAAAAATAATGTCCATAATGATGGAAATTTATTTGAATAATGACTACTTCATAATGACCAAAAGTCCTACATTGAGAAATAAAAATATATGGTCCTATATTGGGAAAGTCATTGTGTTTTAGTCCTATTTAGCTAAATTACTCAACTTAATTCCAGGAATGCCACGCGTACGTGGAAGCTGGCCGGTAACCGAATTGGGAAGTTGCATGCATGTACCCACGTCTCCTGCCACGTTCCCTCCATGCATGCACCCCACTACGAGTACTCCATTCACCTTCTTCTTCTTCGTTGTAAGTATATAAATACCCCTCCCCGCCGGCCATCTTTCACAATTATATATATATATATATCTCCGACCGACGACAACCTCCTCCTGTATATTCATAACTTCTCTCCCCGGTTTAATTATTTCTAGTACATACAGTTCATCCTATATATCGCAGCTAGTATATATAACATCATGCCGGGCCTCACCATTGGAGACGAGATCCCAAACCTCCGCGTGGAAACCACACACGGCACGATCAATCTCCACGACTACGTCGGCGAATGCTACGTCATCCTCTTCTCCCACCCGGGGGATTTCACGCCGGTGTGCACGACGGAGCTGGGGATGATGGCGGCATACGCCGGCAGGTTCGCGGAACGCGGGGTGAAGCTCATCGGGCTGTCGTGCGACGACGTGGAGTCCCACAAGAAGTGGATCAAGGACATCGAGTCCTACAACGGCGGCCACAAGGTCAACTACCCTATCATTGCAGACCCCGACAGGAAACTCATCAAGCAACTCAACATGGTCGATCCCGACGAGAAGGACCCCTCCGGTAACAGCGTCCCTTCTCGCGCTCTCCACATTGTTGGTCCCGACAAGAAGGTAAACATTGATCCTCTTAATGAATCCAATCCAGTGGTATGTATAGATATAGGGTAATTTACCTAAATAGGACTAAAACATAATGACATTCTCAAAATAGGACTATATGTTTTTATTTTCCAATGTAAGACTATTGGTCATTATCTATTAGTCATTATTCAATTATAAATGTCGAGCAGGACATTATTCTTCTCACTAGTCATTATTAACGCGGTGGGTGCAGATAAAGCTGAGCTTTTTGTACCCGGGGAGCACGGGAAGAAACATGGACGAAGTGGTGAGGGTGTTGGAGTCCCTGAAAAGGGCGGCAGAGAAAAAGATTGCCACCCCGGTGAACTGGAAACCGGGGGATGCTGTGGTCATTGCACCCTCCGTCTCAAGTGACGAAGCCAAGAAGATGTTTCCGCAGGGTTTCACCACCGCCGAGCTTCCCTCCGGCAAGGACTATCTCCGCTTTGTTGAAGGCGTTTAAATTAATTAACTAATTATGCATATAGTATATCTTGTGTACGCCAATTAAGTACCTAGCTAGTAAAATGCCATGCATGTATGTCTGCCTAGCCTGTATACATATCCTAGCTAGCCCGGCCTCCTCATCTATATTCTATATATGTTATGTAGGTGCTTGCTTCTATATATTGAAGCGACCCATATGTATATATACTATATATGTTAGTGAAGTGATTAATTATAGTATAGATTGGCCGGCATACCATCTTTAAATTACAGACAAGTCTCCCTAGCTACATATTGATTAATTAATTATTATATAATGAGAATGTAAGATTACATAAATCGATCAGATCAGATCGGCAAGAGGGCCAGTTTAATTAGAAAAGAAAAATGAATGTGTGTATTCATCATCAGTAGTCATCACCGCCGGAGGGGGGGAATATAATACTGTATTAATTAATGTTACTGCAAACAACCTCAACGGCCACTTTCTTCATGACATCAGCACACGGATCCCCTCCAAATACTTCCGGAGTTACATCTATGGTACATGAATTCTTCCCCACGCATGACTGCATGCAGATGCATGCCATATATATATGCACCATATATATAGAACAGAGCAGCAATTAATCTTATGATATGTTGTAGTTAAATTGATGCCAATTAAATTAAATTAAGTAAATCACATGAGTTTGAAATATATACTCCTTCCGTTTCCAATTTATAAAACGGTTCATATTTTGACTTTTAGAAGAAATAATAAGTGCATATTTGTTGTTGATTTTTCAATTTTGTCTTTGATGTGATGGATAAAAATAAGATGTGATGCATAGATTATCAATAAAATAGTAAGATGTGATAGATAAGGTAAAAAAAGTAGGAGTAAAAGTAGTTTTTTAATAGAAAGTGGAAGTGTTTTGAGGAAAATTAAAAAAAATGAGAGAAGTATTTTTAGAAAAAGAGAGTATTATAGGGTAATTAGCTAGCTAGATAGGATTTGTGTATGTACCTTGTTGAAAACGTCATAGGAATTGGCAGCGTGGCAGCTCCCCTGCCGGAAATCGCCGCATTTCCCCTCCGGCGTCCCGAAGCTGGCAAAGGTGACGGAGGTGATGTTCTTTCCGCCGGAGCCGCATGAGAGGTGAAGCTTTGGCCGGAGCCGCCTGTTGATTCTGCCGGTGGATTGCAGCCGCCAGTTCATCAGCTGCGGCTGCCACTCGTACATCTGCGCGCACACCTTTCCTACCTCCCGTTTGACCAGGGAGATGCCGAATGGATTCCCGCCCCACTCCTCCGATATGACCAGCAGGTTTCCCGTCGGCCGTAGCCACGACCGAGGAACATGGTACCTGCATGCATGTGTATTAAGAAATATTTGCACTAAATAGCACTAAAACTTAAGTTATTTCACTAAATAACACTTAAATTATTTTATTCTCTAAATAGCACTTCATAATGTCCATAATATCCACTGATGACCAATATTTACTTGAATAATGAATAATGGAAAATGACTAAAAATGCTAGTTTGGAAAAAAACACATGTGATGCCATTTAGGGAAAGGCATTATGTTTTAGTGTTATTTACGTACCATCGTTGTGAGGCTTCTCCACAGCTTCCGAGACATTTTCTCTCGTCAAACCAACCAGCATAGTTGCAGAAGCTACAACCCGCGGTGGCAGATGCTTTGTTTGCGGGCCAGTGTCGTCCGATGCTATGCCCATTGACCCATATCTGACCTTTGCTCATCGTACTCATATCCAATGCCAACGCTTCTTCTCCATCCGGAGCATCAAATGTACTCTGCCCGCCCACAAAAAAAGAAAAACCCAATCCGGCATTGAACGGAGCATTATCGTATGAGTCTCAAATGGTTCAGTATATGCCATGCATATTGATGAGAATATATAACCAACTGACCTTATACCAAGTGAGAGGCTGTCTTTGTGCAACAAAAGAACCTTGAAGCCACTCCACTAAAGAGCTCCCACTAGATGAATGAAGATTCAAAGCTTCACCTTTAAGACCAATCTGATGTAATATAAGACATATGGCATGCACATCCACTCGATCGATCAGTTTTTTTTAAAAAAACAGATATAAATGTTTGAAGAGCAAAATGGGAAGACAGAAAGTGGAACCAACAAACCTTGTAAGACCACTTCTGCCATGTTAAATCTCTGGTTCCTTCATTTAGACCACTAAGTGATACCGGGCCAAGAACGCCCGCATTCCATGTCTCATAATGAGGGCCAACATTCTGTTAATTAATTAGAAAGATGTTATTTCATTTACACATTCTATATATATGTGTGTGTGCGTGAAGAAGATGTAGGAATCATATATACTGCGTTTTATACTAGACTAGATAAATAGGTAACAGACCGGAAGGCCAACGGCAATGCTCAACAGAGATATTTGATTCACACCCGCCACCAGATGTACCCCTTGGCTGAAACTTATTTTTGGGTTCTCTAAACTTCCATAACTCGTTCCTGCCAAAACATTGAGATGAATTCAAGTATACCTCACATCATATCTCTTATCTTTCTCATCTTATTGCCTAGGATTATTTGATGTTGAGACTTATGCTCTATTTGATACGTATACAGAAGTGGAATATAATTGAAATTCTATGGAATTGAACTCTAATTCAATTCCAAATCCTTTGTTTGGTATAATTAAGGAATTTATATAGAATTGTATTGTAATTACAAATCAATTCCAATCTCACATATTTTTGTGCTACCAAACAGCAGAATCAGAAGTGAAGTTTTCAATTCCAATTCCATGGCCTGGATTCCGTGCACCAAACGGAGCCTAATTGTCAGCTTTCTTGGGTTTATTTATAAGATGCAAAAAAAAATAAATAATGTGTGTACCTACTAATTGCCCATTTATGAACACATGTAGAGCATGTCCAGCTGAGAAGACAGTAAGCCAAGGCGAATACCCGTATTCCAAGAACCCTTCGCTTTGATTAATGTTGACCCTGGGAACGAGAAGAAGTACGCCATTTTTTGATAAAACAGTATCGAAGTACAATATCCTTTTCAAGTTTATAAGAGATCAAACTTACTCTGTCATGTACCACAAATAATCAGAAGCATCTCTAGTGGTGTTAATCTGCTCCAACAACCCAACAACTGTGTACATGTTCTCATCATAAGAGGGTGCTTCTTCATTATATGACTCCCAAGAGAACCCCTCACCGACGGGAGTCATTGTCATTTGTACAGTTTGGGCACCAACCTTCATGTTAAAACCTAGTTTAAAGTCAATACCTTAAAACTACACAAAGAAATGTTCAAAGAAAGGCGTGGTCTTTCTTTCTTTAGCCTAAGTGTACGATGTGAGACTATATCCTCAACATTTGAATTCACTCACCCTTGCGGTATTATAAACGGTGTTCTTGCAATCCGGAAGGATGCTGATAGACCAAGGCGGTAAGTGGTAATGCATTTCTCCAAACACCACTTTAGCAAACGAATGTTGGTCATGGTTTGCAAGGAACGCTGCACAAGTTCCATTATTTGATTTGAACACACGAGCCTGTTGAATTGATAATAACAATAATAATAGTGATAATAATAATTATAACAAGCGGAGAAATATTGTATATAGCTGGTGTGAAGAATGATTAGTATCAAGTAGTAAACCGAACCTCTTGAGAGGGTCCAAGTGAGGTTATAGTTGGATCTCCAGATACTAATGCTGGCTCACACAGCTTTATTGCTCTATGAAGATCTTTCAGATGACCCCATTTAGGTTGACGTAATAACCCTTTTGTCATTTAAAGAAAATATAAGTTAAATTATTATTTTTTTATTTAGTTGGACATTGTTGTCATACAAATCCATGTATAGCCAGGACTAAGTATTAGACTGAAGCACATTTTGGTTCTTACCGAACTCGTCGATAGGGGCATCATAGTCATAGCTGGTGGAAATAAAAGGACCTCCAGATGTCCTGCCAAAGTTCGTGCCCCCGTGATACTGGCCAAGAGATCAAAGAGTGGTATTTTTTTATATTAAAAACATAAATACCATTCGTAGTGGAAAATTTACCATAAAGAAAATGGATGAAGTAACAAACAATGACTACCATGTAATAATTGATGAAAGATCCCCCATACATTATGAACTTTGCAACTGCATAAGCCATATCCTCAGCTGGACGGTAAGGTACTGGAGCTCCAAATTCAGTAAACCTACAACAAAAAAGAAGCTATGGTATGAACTTCGACACCATTACTTGTAAAAAGTCAATTTCTAAAGAATTCCGAGTATATAAAGAAAGCATTCAAATTACCAGGCAGTCCAGGCTTCGGTCCACATCTTGGGTTTACTGGCATTATTTGGGGTAAAGTAGTCGCAATAAAAGCCGTTGCAAGTATTGATCTGGAAAGGGAATAGAATCGTGAATTTATAATGAGCAATAAATAATGTATAAGGAGAAGAACACAAATAATATTGCAGCTTGTATAGAAATTACAAGTAAAAATAATACTTCGTACAAAGAAATGACCGTCTAAATCATATATGAAAAAAAGCTGCCTCTTGTCTAATCCTTTTGGGGCTATTTGGAAGGAGAATTATGGACGGCTTGTAAGCCGTGGTCTAGATTTTTTACATACTACTACTCTGTAGTATATATTTGAGATATAATGGAAATTGAAAGATTGGCGTAATATGTGATCCTACAACATTTTAATTAACTTTCATTCGTTTCGACAATTATTCTATTGTGAAATTTGGACAATTATTATATTTGTCATGACATAGATTAAGCCCTTCAAAGTCTTCCCCTAAAAAAACCCTCCATCAGAATAAGCCCAAAAAGAATACTTGTTTGCAGACATCTACACCTTAAGTTGAACTGATCTGTTCAATAATCAAGAAATTGCAGGAGCCAAAGGCCAGTGGCTGTGATTATTAATTATTGTCATCATTTCCTTTTATAGATAAAGACAGGCCATGTGAAGGGGGTGAAAATAGCCTAAACAATTCACATGAACATCCACAAGGGACAAAAGAGAACTAGACAACATAGAGGGATATGGCCGCACTACTCTATCGTCAATGCATACAACAACAAACAAAAACAAACCCAGTAAAATCCCACATAAAGAAGAGTCTGGGGAGAGTGTGTGTGGGCAGACCTTAACCCTACTCGAAGGTATAGACTGTTTGGAAGACAAAAAGATTGACTTAAGAGACAGAGACAGCTTACAACTGGATCAGGGGCATCATCTTGCTTGCACATCACCCACGGCACACCCGTGTCAAGATTCAGAGCCATTTGGGCTGCCCACCGGGCATACAGTCTCCCTGGCTCACCCACTTCATACTCTACCGGCCCATATTCATTCTCAATCTGTCATTGGAATTTGACAAAGATCCATCATATTACTATAACAGGCAAGTGCTAAGAGTACCACATGGGTTTATAGGGCCATGGGTTGGAAATTTAGACTAGATGGGAGAGCCTCACCTTAGCCTTAGGGCAGTAAATTCTAAGGAGGGTACATGATTAACTGAAGGAAGGATATGTAATTCACCTGGGATAAGATAATTGGACCGCCTTGGGATGCGTACAGACTTTCTGTTTTCATCATATTGACAATCATGGTGGTGAAATTTTGCATTGCAGACTGTTTTTTGACATTGGTTTTGGGAAAGAGACAAATGAGCAATTAATTTCAACCCATAATCAGAAACCAATCATTCCAATTTAATTACTAATTGTAAGGGAGTTTTGACAAAGCTGCTAACCTTGAAAGGCTCATTGTTTGTTCTGAAACTAATGCCTGGAACAAACTTCAACCAAACTGGGAATCCCCTAAATTTTTTAACATATATAGCATAAAACAAAAGCTCATGACTTTGACATCAGCCACAAAAATAGAATATTTGAAAATTGCAGTTATCATTATCATTACCCAAAATTCCATTCACCACAAGCATAAGGCCCAATTCTGAGATGAACATACAGTCCAGCTTGTTGAACCAGCTTAATGAACTTCACAATATCATACCTGTCCTCAAAGTGATACTGAAAAATTCCACTCCAACAGTAAAATCAGTAAACGAAGGAAAATACAACTCTTCAAAGAGTCATATTTCAGAACCTTACTTTTCCTTGGTGAGGTTCATGACCATTCCAGAAAACATAAGTTTGGATCACACCCAAACCTCCTTCCTTTGCTTTCTGAATAAGCCCAGGCCACATCTGTGAACAGAAAAGAAGAAGAAGAAAAGAGGAATTTTTAAGAGACTTAAATTTGTCCTGAAAATTTAATCTTTCGCCAGAACCAAATGATAAATTCATAAATCACATCCATAATCATCAGAACAAAGAGCTAAAGAATGCCCATTTGCGAAATATCTTTCGCACAGAAAAGAAAAAAGAAACAGAAAACAGAACTCAGAAAGCAGATTGATGAGCAGGAAAGGAAAGACTGTATATATATATGCCTGAGGTGTGCTTCTTGGGTAGTGAATGGATCCAGAGATGAGGATCTTTCTTTGGCCATTGACAATAAAAGAATTCTTATCATATGAAACTGATGATGAAGAATTTCCAAGAGAGAGGAAAGAAACCAGTGAGACTGCTACCACCAAAAGAAGCTTCACACCCATTATTATTATTATTATTATTGTCCCAGTCTCACCAAACTGGAGGTTTTGAGCTATATGATTGAGGCTTTAATAAGCCCCACTCTTCTCCTTCTTTTCTGCGCTTTATTCTCTCTCCCTCTTTCTTTTTTCTCCCTTCTTTTTCCCTGTCACAGAAAAATGCGGTGGTGATTATGGGAAATGGAAGTGCGCATGATTTTACAGTGGAATGGATGAGAAATTTTGTTGACATTTTGGAGCATGTAAAAAGTTAAAAGAGGGCAGGGAGAGCGGACCTACTGAGAATAGTAAAAGGGTCATACTGTGTCTTCCGCCGTCCCTTTGGAGTGTTTGGATGACCAACTTTTTTAGGGAGTAACAAAATCGAAAATGATCCTCTGCCCCGAATTTATTTTCCTTTATTTAATTATATTTAATTGAATTAATTTTAACTAGATTTAATTAAGTAATTATAAGAAATTTAAAAACGAAATTTATTTAATAATAAATAAAAACTTTTACAAAATTAGAAGCGATATAATATATATATATATATACACACACACACACAGATATATATATATATATATATATATATATATATATATATATATATATATATATATATATATATATATATATAGGCCGGTTCCCGTGAGAATGCACCTTGTGGAGAGCAATGAGAATAAAATCTAGCCGTCGGATCTGATGCATCGTGCGGCTCAGATTGCATCCTGCGCTCAGATTTTGAGATAGTGCATTTTTGAAGGTTTATGGTGCATTTCAACGTGATGCATTTTCGCACCATTTTGGTGCATCTAATTTTGATGAAATCTTGACCCTTAGATCTCACAATCTAAAGCACCAGATTCATTCTCATTTCTCTCCTAAAATTGCATTCTCACCAGAACCTAAATATATATATATATAATTTACAAAACTCTTTTCCATTTCATTCTTTAATAATAGTATAAATTTTCAAAATAAAATGCATATATTCAAATATGCAAATGCTTTATAAAACGAAATGTGATATGACTATATTATTTTAATGAATAATTAACGAAAATAAGTGTATCAATCATTTTCGATGGAGCTAATAATTCACTATATTTCGCTTTGGTTTTTTTAAATGTCTGCGTTTCTTTTAATAGTGAAGTAGCGGTTAGACATTGTAACTTTTGACATTCATCATGTGTCATCCAGAAACAATCACTCTATTTTTTAAATATAAGGGTCAGGCTACATACGTGATTACATGCAATGCTTGAGTCGAGTTTCTTTAGAAGCAGTCTCTATTTTCGAATAAGGTAAGGTCTGCGTACAAATACCCTCCAAGACTACTATTTTATGATTCTGTCAGGATGAAGAAAGTGTTAAGTGAAAAAAATGATTTGTTTGTCTATATTAAATAGTCATTGGAAATTATTTTGGGACTATGTGGAGTATCATTTTCACTATTTACACTTTAGGCTCTAAATTTCACATTTAAAAAATTAATCAAAATATGAGTAAAACATAACCTTTATCCTTATAATAGAAGTGACATACTGCTATCCCAAAATAAGACTTTACAATGAAACACTATATATTGGTAATTCACATTGCTTTTTTGTTGTTATATATTGACTTTATTGAGTAAAAACATTAAGATTCTATTATGATCTTTTTATATTTTATTTTATTTTGGTTTTCTCCCATCTCATTATATTTCTAAGCATCTCAATATATCCATATTTTAGTGTCACATGCATCCAATAAAATGCACATGCTCTTTTATTTTTCATAGCATCAAGCATCATCCATTATGTTTGCATAGTCTTTTAAATTTTATTAAAAAAAAATATTACTCCCTCTATCCTATCATTATTTTCATTTTAATTGAAAATAAAACAAGATGATTGTAAAATTCATGGTATTTTTAAAAATGAATGGAGAGAAGAGAGCCAAAAATAATATTGGAAATAACAAGACTAACAAGATAATACTAATTAGGAAAAATCTAGAAGTACCTTAAGGTGTACACTACCTTTTCACAGACATGCAGAGATGTCTATTGTCTGTGTGAATCATAGACAGTGGGTGTCTGTGTATGTCTATGAGAAGATGATATACACCATCTTGGGATACCCCTAGCAAATCCATTCTACTTAGCAGAGAGAAAGCTTCATGATGTCAACCATTTCTAGTGCAAAAATCTGATATTATCAATTAAAATTTATATTTAAATTTTAATTTGTGCTATTATAGCTTTTGAATAAAAGAGTATCCAAACATAATGGATGATGCTATGATGCCATTAAATTTGAGAATGGGAAAGCCCCAAATGGACCCAACGTGGCACTCCCAAGTGATTAAGGGGCTGTATGGCAATTTCTGAATAGGTAAGTGTGAACCAGTAAGAGGTCTAAACCATTAAGTGCTGAACCAGTAAGAGGTCTGAACCATTAAGAGCTAGTATATTGCTTAACTATTCAGAGGCAAATGTCTGATCAATTCAGATAAGAGGTCTTAATCATTCAGACTCTGTATAATACTTAACCATTCAGAGGCAAATCTCTTAACCATTCAACATCTGAACCATATGGCCAATTTGGACAGATATGATGGGTTGGCTTTCAAAATTAGCTTAGAGGACTTACATCAACACATATTGAGACGGACAACAAGTAAACCGCGAAAAAAATAAGATGAGGTTTACACATCTTTTCTATTGGTAGGAACCAATAAGAAAGATTTTTGTACAAGTAGTACATACACAAATATAAAATCTTAGACATCAACTTTTGCAGGTATGACCTCTCCACCTGTGTTTCCCACTAAAAATTGAGAAGAAGCTCCAGTACAGAAGCCTAACTTAACCATGATCTCTTCAAGCCGTGTCACATTTGTCAAATACAAGTAACCAATCTGGAAAAAGAACAATTACTTTGAAAATGTATATCAGGGTTATAAAGGAAAAAAAAGAATCAATCAAATATTTAGCACCGGGAGACAGGAAAGGCTATAACATACTCAACTAGTAAAGCATTAAATGGAAGTATACTCGTAATTTTTTCTCTTTTCAAATGGAAATATACTCGCTACATCTTTTCTTTTCAAATGGAAATATATTCAATATATTTTCTCAAGTTGATCCAATGGGCATTGTCATCATCGTGTTCAACGATTTGTAGGTTGAGTCACAGTATCAATCTTGTGATGGAACATGATACAAAGGAAGATCTCAGATCATTGTCATCTTGCTAGTTGTTATATCATGTGGAATAAGCTATAGTGATCATAGTTTTAGAATTCTCATCTCAACATTCCTTCTTATGAATGTTGTGACACGAAGGGCATCTAAGATATTGCGGCTATGTTTTTGCTTGAACTTATGGTCTCACTCAATTCCATTCAATTAGTTGGAACTATGGGTTTACTGCCACTGACCACAACTAGTTGACATTATGGTGGCGGCGATGATCAGCAAACTTATTTAAATTCATATATATAGGCGTATAGCAAGCAACTTATGAATGGCGAGCCAAACTGTATATTGATTTATAAGCATTCACATAATATACTGCATATTCTTTACAGTTAGTAAGAGGAACTAACAAGTGTTTCAAGTGAGGATGCTTGCTTGTAAACAGCTACACCAGCACGTTTCTTTGTCCTTGTTTTCCCAGAACCAATATTCTTTCCCCAACGAAGCACTGCCCTAAAATGCAAGTAGTTTAAAAAAGGCTGTCAGATGTTAAGATTATATCCCACGCATGATATTCCGGAGCAAATTTACAAACTTCGTGTCTTTTTAGTATTCCACATTTGGAAACTAGTATGTAGTGTTCTGCACAAAAAGCCCTTTACCAAAATTTGGTGTTATGAAATTGGAGTGGGTGCTGGGGACTGGGGTGCGTTGGGGACGGCCGGGCTGGGGGGTTTACCTAAACGGTTAGAGGGTGGGAACTGGGAACAATCAATTATACGATCAGAGCAACGTAGGTACCCTTGAATTGGTGTAACAATCTTACACCAATAAATTGGTATAAAATTACCCCCCCTCAACTGTTTCAAAAATTTCTTTTGTCCCAAGATAGGAGTCAGATTTCAAAAAACAGAACTAAAATTTCATATAATTTGCCAACAATAGTTACAAACAAATTCAATATGATAAATATAGCTAAACTAAGAAGGAAATTAAAAGAAAAACTAGGATACCATGACTTCTAAGAGTTGTGCATTGCAAAAATTAAACTGCTGTAGCTTGACCATACAAAACTTCTTTTAACAGAATGAATACTATTACTTGGTGCACTGCTGCGGATGGAGAAGAAGAAGAATATAGCTAGAATCTACAATAAAATAAATAAAGATAGGATTTTGTGCTTATGAAGTCTCATTTCACTTTTTTTTTTTGAATTGTTATAGATGTTAAAATTAAAATAAACTCTTAACTGGGTAAGAGAATGTTTATGAACATTTGTAGGTGATTCATGTATTACAAACATTAGGGCCTAAATGCCAAATTCTAATAGTTTTTGTGCAGGTCCTCCGAAATATCGGAACCGTCCTTGACTCTGCAAGTTCCTCTTTGACCAGGTCATAGTCAACATGAACTGCATACCTATGTTACATTGTTACAATACTCTACAAATGCACTACTGACCTTTCTTCTTCTGATAAGGATTTGTCCTTCATGAGTTTCTGCAACATTGCATCCTGAAATTCAGCCAGAAAAAACATAACATCCTGGAATGTACCGTTCACATGATATACTATTCCCCCACGGAAGTGTTAGGCACCAATATCTGCATATCCACTCAGTCTCCCTCACATAACAGAACATAATGGCACCCATACGTACGCAGTCAATGGGGGGAAGACTACAGCTTTTATAGGATGATTTATCTACAAGCTGTGTGCATGTGTAATATGATTACCTTATTTAAGGAAAACTACGTAAGGAAATAGAAATTATCAATGAGAACAAGTGTAGAAATGTCAAATGATGCATAAGCTAGTAGTGTTCATCTGTGGACAACACAAGTTCTAGGAGATAGTGGCAAAACATAGATGTTATTAAGAGGAGGAGTAAGTCAAGAAAAGTAAGCCCCTCTCCCATAATCGAATACAAACCACAAATGACAGCTAAAATGTTAAATAACGAAGGAATGGACTTACTTGAGCCTCACAGCGAACTACTGCCATCACACGATCATTGTGTTCTTCAATGTTCAATGGTGGGAACAAAAAGTGCCTTCGAGCATATAACTGCTTACATGGTTACATTTTAAAGAGGACTTACAACACATGTGGCTGAATAATAACTTTATATAAGAGTTTGTTGGAATTTTGGTCCCTAAATAGTACGTGATTTGTTGTTTGGAATCTTGGTTGCCCATTTTTCTACATATAATTCGTAGTTGGGTCACATTTTTGCACTTTTAGTCCTCAAATTTGTGAATTTGATCCTTTGAGCTAACATCCTATAGCTCAAAAAACATCAAATATTTGCTAGTGTTTAATGTCAATGGGTAAAACATACTCAAATCATAATCGTTTAGCAATTATTGATTAAATAAAAAAGATAGAATATGATGTGTTTAATAACAAAAAAACTACAAACATAATGATATGAGGACCTTTTTAAATGAACAACAATGAACCAAAATCTCTAAATCTGCACAAGTCAGTGACCAAAGTGAAATCTTTTTACCAATGAACCAAAATAGCTAAATCTGCACAAGTCAAGGACTTTCTTGTCATTGGGGCGGTGGCGCGGTGCACACTTAATTTACTGTTGACTTGTTCATCCCACATCGGCTATGCAGCCTTATATTGTGCTGTTATTTAATAGCTTGGGTACCTCAACCTCTTGAGTTAACTTTTGGGGTTGAATTGGGCCCAAGCCCATTATTTCAACATGGTATCAGAGCTAAGCCATTGATGTTGGGACCGCGCCCGCAGTAATCTGCGCCTTGTGTGAGGGGGGCGTGTTGACTTGTTCATTACACATCGGCTATGCAGCCTTATATTGTGCTGTTATTTAATAGCTTGGGTACCTCAACCTCTTGAGTTAACTTTTGGGGTTGAATTGGCCCCAAGCCCATTATTTCAACATTTACAGATTGCGATTTAATTTATTTAATTATTGGGTTTTTGGAAGATATGATGCATGATAGGGCGCAATGGCATCGTTTGATCCATGTAGCCGAGTCTACAAACTTCAGTGACAAATCATTTTGATTTTTAAAATCACATTCCTTGTTTCTTTAACTTTGTTAGATCCTTTCTTGAAGTTGAACACTAATTTCATCTTATCCCCGTGAGTCGTGACACACCTTAGAAAACCCCTTGTTCATTTATTTACTGAGTATGTTTTTAAAAACAAAGAGCTAGAGATGTTGTCACCTCGAAAATGCAATCTCCAATATAAGCTAGTGCTGCTGCATTGAAGACTGAGCGAGGCTTCTCCACTTTGGGCGGACTCGGCAACCACGTCTCATAACCCATACATGTTTCAGGTAATTTGCCTAATTGCATAAATCATTCGCATGAATTAAAGCTCAAATGGGCGAATATTGTTCAGTTGTTCTACTACTCCGTAGACCATAGAAACACTAGAAACAAGTATTTTAGGTAAGCTTAGAATACCGTGAGTCGGTGCCGGAGCATCGCGTCTGAGGATGTCTGAAATTGATATCGCCGGGCGGTTGTTCGCGGGGGAAACGATGGCTGACGGTGCCGTAGAACTTGCGCCGGAGGTTGGCGGATATGTGCGGTGAGGATTGTAAGAGAGTCTATGCTTCGTGTCGACTGAAGAAGCCCTCACCATCCGGGAAGGAGACAGCGCTGGGAGAGCAATTGCCATGGCTTCCTGGTTTAGGCGCGCACGCCAAGCCCCAACTCTCTCTCTTTCTTTCTCGAAAAACTAACCAATTCGAGCCCGGGCAAAAAATTAAAATTAGGGAATGGATAGAAATAAATATGTAATGGAGAAGTGAGTGGAGGTAAGATTGGTAGCAAGGATGGGGTATATGGCACGGTCCTTCCAGTCCACCCCTTGTTTTAGATAGAAGATAACAAGCGGGAAAATGTATATAAGAATCAGGATTACATACACAGGGGTTATACCAAAGATATTGAAATACGGAGTATCTCTTTAATGTTGACAACATTAGAGGATACATTATTATAGAAAGTTAGCAACTAAATTGATCCATGTCAATGTGATATTGTGCATTACCAATGTTACGTTGATGCATGCTTTCGATTTTGTTTCAAATAAGGACTACATTGTGCTTTTAATTAAAATCACAACATCTTGATTCTATCATTAACTTTTATTCTCAATTCTTTGGTGTAATTCTATTTTATATTTTAATTAATACATGTATGACATGGACATTAGTAGATTTATAATATAAAGGTAGTGAATTTTTTATAAAAAAATAATATTAACCAAGTTGGTCAAATGATTGTTAAAATTTTGGTGGGCTGAGAATAATGGCTAAAGTGTTAGGTAAAATTAACCATTTGCATATATAGTCGGGATCTACTATTCTGACTCAAAAGCTTAAGCTAATAGGTAGGGTTTCATTGTTCTATATATGTTAGTGCTATTCATCTTTATTTTTCGATGTAGAAACTCCAACATTCCCCTTCAAGACGTAGTTAGCACTTTGACAAACGGAACTAAAATCTCAATATCTCATAGTTAGCCCACACACAACAGGCGGTGACATCTCAATCTCTTTTTAACAAACTCAACCAAAACCATGGACGAGTAACTCACTTTTTACTAAATCCACATCAAACAACTAAGAAGAATCAACATTCAAAAAAAAAACTAAGAAGAATCAAGCTCATACCAAACTTTGTTCCGATATCATGTAGAAATAAAATTAGAACTCTACTTGATGTTTACATTGATCACAAACGCTTTATTTATACAAATACAACTCTAATCTAATTACAAGCCTACTAGCATGCCTAATAATACCAAAACCTAATTACAGCCGCTAACAATGGCTATAGCTCATTATCCTTGAAAGGAGAAGTGAATAAACAAAAGATCAAAAATCAAGAATGGAAATTGAAAAGTGAGGAAAGGGGGGAAAACATTACATTTCTTTGTAGTGTTAGGGTCCGTTCCTTAAGACTTATTTTTTTCTATTTATTATTTATTATTAATAAAATTAGATTAGATCGGTTTAGACTTAAGCAGATTAGATTAGACATAATAAAATCAGATCAGATCCAATCAAATTTGATTCAATTAGATCAGATCGGACCATATGAAATCTAATAATATCAAATCAAGAAAAAATATAAAAATAATATTTATATTTTTCAAAAATTAAATAATACTGGAGTAATTACTAGTTGGGTTCACCAGAAAGAACAAAGAGTAAATTCCATAATTGATCCTTTATAATAGGGGTTTCCATATTTAGTCCTATATTATCAAATATTATCCCCGTAGTCCTTTTTTAAGGGTACCTTTCCACAAATGGTCCTTTTTTTGATCTTCTGTCGTGTTGGTGTTAATTTAAAGGCTGAAAGTATAATTTGACATCAACATTATGTTTGGTGACGTGTTCTGATACTGTTTAAGCGGATAACACAAAAATAATGACTATGGTTGTGGACTAGGGTTCTGACGAAAGATTATATTTGTAGACTATGGTTGTAGTAGAAAGCGACTGTAATTCACAAACGACGCAAACAGAACAACATTTGAAATTGTGAATGACAAAAAAGATATATTATCATTGTGAAATTATACTTTTAGCCCTCAAATTAACACCAACATGATAGAAGATCAAAAAAAGGACTATTTGTGGAAAGATATCCATAAAAGAAGGACCACTTGAATAATATTTGATAATAAATGACTAATTAGAGAAACCCATGTTAGACCAATTTACTGAACAAATGTGCAGCCGCCCGCTGTAAACCATAGGTATTACCGGCGCCTTGCTCCTTCATTCTAGACGACTTGCTGTCCAGAGATAATACTACGTTCAATGAGTAGATACGACAGCCGCGCGGCCGACGCCGGAAGCTATCGCGACCGCCGAAGGTAAAACCCTAGCCAGCCAACGGTCCTCTCTTATTTGATTTGCTCATGTTAGCTTCAACGAGGATTTCGTAACTACGTTTTTGTTTCGTTTCCGAATGTTTCTCAGTGACGCTGGGTTTGGCGGCGGATCGACATATAGGCCGTCCTCAGGAACTAGGAAGGACTATGATGGTACCGAGTCACCGCGGAAATTTGATTTAGAAGGGCTTATCCCATTCGAGAAGAATTTTTATGTGGAGTCAAGGTCCGTGGCAGCAATGACGGAGATGGATGTAGATGAGTATAGACTGCGACGGGAGATTACAGTTGAAGGCCCTGATGTGCCTAAACCCGTGAAGAGCTTCAGTGATGTGGGGTTTCCGGGTACACAATCCAGTGCAAAATCTGATTTTTTCTTCCAAATTTGGTGTATTTGACTCTGATTTATTCCAAACACACTAAATGATGGGTAAAATCTGTTTTTTCTTCCCACTTTGGTTTACTTGACTGTGTTTTATTCCAAACACATTAAGAAGCCCGGACTATTCTTATCCATTATATTGAATTTGTGCAGTGCTTAAAAATACTCGTATTTTTTATGATCAGACTGATCTATTTTTTATTAGATTCATACACTATACATATACAAATTAGATTTCTTCTATTGTCCAGAGACATGTATTTCTTTTGCTGAATAACTCCCGTAATCAGTGTATATCTTTCACATGTCATATTTTCAGAATATGTTATGAATGAAATTGAGAAAGCTGGCTTTACTGAACCTACCCCTATTCAAGCTCAAGGGTGGCCTATGGCTTTGAAGGGCCGTGATCTCATTGGTATTGCAGAAACTGGGTCAGGGAAGACACTTGCATATCTTCTTCCAGCAATTGTGCATGTTAATGCTCAGCCATTTCTAGGTATTTACATATTGTTCTCCAGTATATCCCGGTTTTCACGTGGTCATATTATTTGGACATTTATCCTTTATCCATAGAAACTTAACTATTAATGTAACACTACTTCGTATATGGTATAAAAGCACCTGGAGATGGTCCTATTGTGCTAGTCTTAGCTCCAACTCGTGAACTTGCTGTGCAAATCCAAGAAGAAGCTACTAAGTTTGGCGCTTCGTCAAAGATTAAGAACACTTGCATATATGGAGGGGTTCCGAAGGGACCTCAAGTCCGCGATCTTCAGAAAGGTAGGTGGTGATCTGCTCAAGATTTTACTTCTATGTCGTGATGTGATGGATCGGGTATATTCTGCAGCTTCTTCTGTTCTAAAGTTATATCATTCTTATGGAGCACCTAATATTTATGTTTCCACACTCTTGCAACATGCTGTAGGTGTTGAAATTGTTATTGCTACACCTGGACGATTGATTGACATGTTAGAGTCTAATCACACAAACTTGCGTCGGGTTACATATCTTGTGTTGGATGAGGCTGATCGTATGCTGGACATGGGCTTTGAACCTCAGATTAAAAAAATTGTTTCACAGGTTTGTTTGTAGAGTAACTGCGACCATTGTGATTATGTGATAATGTCAATCTAAATTTTGTAACGCTACATATTGCAACCGGGGCTTGTGAGTCTCTTGTTCTGTTTTTCTTTTTAACTTCTGCACATAAAAATAATTTGAGGATTGACCAGGCTTGCATAGTCTTGGTGTGATTTAAAGTTCATAATTTGATAAGAAGTGTTTATATGTTAAGTGAATTTGATATTAATGAGTATGTTCTTTACATGGACTAGCTCCATAGTGGGCTAGTTCTGTTATTCTGTATATATATAAATGAGAATGTTTGCTTTGGTAACTAATATGGTGAACTGAAAGTAAAATTTGCAATTTACACCATATATGCCTTCCCATTGATGCCTTACAGATTAGGCCTACACCTCATTGCAGTTCACATTTATTTTCAATTGTTCAGTGTTTGCAAGTTGGAATTCCTATTTTTTCGAAGTCGTGAATAAGTAGGAATGAGCTCACGAGCCTCACGAGCATGCTTATACCATCGTAACATTATCCAATATGCATTTATCACTCGGTTATTGATATTTAAGATTCCCAAAAATGGGGAACAAGTACACTAGTAGTCTTGTACAGATAGATGCACTTTCTCCTATGTGCCTTTTGCTCTTTCCATGAGACAATACCGATTGTTCATTTTGATTTTGATTGTGATGTGTAGATACGTCCAGATCGTCAGACTTTGTACTGGAGTGCTACATGGCCCAAGGAAGTTGAACAACTTGCAAGGAAATCACTGTACAATCCATATAAAGTAAGTATTTATGTGACTTGTTCATTTCGATAGAACAACTTGCTTATTATCCTCGAATTTTCCACCTCAAATCATTTGCTAAGCAATTTATTAAAAAACAGGTCTTTTGTTTTTTTTTGTTGTACATTTAGTAAGCTTTGATATTGGTGGCTCAATTACTAAGTTACCTCTCCCAATGTGGTGGTTGGTGGCAAATTATGTCTCTTATAAATCGATTCTGAAGCTTTATTTTACTCCCAACATTCTCAAATAATTGTCACTTTAGACTTTCATAACCATTTAAAGGAATCCGTAAAGTTTTCCAAATTCACGATTATCTAGACTACCCTCATTAGTGCATTACAGATATATAAAGCCTTATGGATCATGTTAAGATGGAGAAGGGCAATAGTGGGAAATGAGCCATTAATGCTCTCTTCATTTTTGAGAACAATTATCTAAAGCTAAACTTACTAGATAACAGAGAGAGTGACAGTCTATTTCCCACTGGGTTGTTAAAGTATATCTGCACTTCATTAGAGTTTATATTTCGCCAAAAAAGTTGATGCAATGATTAAAGTACAATTTATTGCCCTGTGTTCCTCCTCATTGAGATCCTTTAATTTCTGTTATCCTGCAGGTAATTATTGGTTCAGAAGATTTGAAAGCTAATCATGCAATTCGCCAGCATGTGGAAGTTGTCTCAGAAAGCCAAAAATATAACAAGTAGGATTTCTCTGACCCACTATTTGTATGGGTTTTGTTACATGACATTTAGTTCTTTTTGTCAGTTTAAACTATTAATTCAAAATTTCAAACTAAGCGAATCTTGTTTTTAATTTCAGATTAGTAAAGTTGTTGGAGGACATTATGGATGGTAGCCGGATTCTGATATTTATGGACACAAAAAAGGGGTGTGACCAAACAACTCGGCAACTGAGAATGGATGGTTGGCCTGCGCTTTCTATTCACGGGGATAAGAGCCAAGCGGAAAGAGATTGGGTCCTCTCAGAATTTAAAGCTGGCAAGAGTCCAATAATGACAGCTACTGATGTTGCTGCTCGAGGGTTAGGTAAATCTCTATAATCTATATTCGACACAAACAACCTCAATTGTTAACATCTCTGTTTATATTTTACTAAATTCCATAGCAAATTTTTTAAAAAGGGGCAAGTGCTTTTTTAAGGAAGTTCTTTCGGACTTTTTCTTAAGAATAATTGTTTGGATGGAAAATGTGAAAGGATGTTTTAAGTTTTAACATTAAAAAACACTTTAAATGCAATTCACCAATGAGATAGAACTTATCATGAAATCACTTGTCAGTCTATGAGCAAAACTTTGGAAAGTTGTTTGATGCTCTTCTGGACTTTCATCTCATTAATTATGCTGCATATTTGTTTTGTTGCTTGCAGACGTGAAAGATGTTAAATATGTCATCAACTACGATTTTCCGGGATCCCTTGAGGATTACGTTCATCGGATTGGTCGAACAGGAAGAGCAGGTGCCAAAGGAACAGCTTACACATTCTTCACAGCTGCAAATGCCAGATTTGCAAAAGAGCTTATTAGTATTCTTCAAGAGGCCGGGCAGAAGGTCAGCCCTGAACTGGCTTCTATGGGACGTGGTGCTCCTCCTCCTCCTCCAGGTTGGTTGATTAGTTATAATAAATCTTTGAGGCATGGCAGTGCTAAGGTTCTGTTTGGAACCTAGAAAATGCCGGGGGAAGAAAATAGGGAGAAAGGCAGGAAAATTATAATGTTTTTTTTTTGGAATAGTAAAATATAAAGACTAGGAAACCCAAAGAGGGGTACACTTTATTTACAAATCAAACATATTTCTTTTTTCATTAGTAGTTTTACAAGGTAAAATCAAACATACAGAGCTCGTTCCAAGAAAAAAATTCCCTCCCCCTTCTCTCTTTTTTTAGACCGGGACCCAAACAAATCATTTACTATGGGAAACAATGGTGTAAAGTATCTTATTTGGTCCAAACAAAGAACTAATTGGCACATTATTTGTAACAAAAAAGTAAATTAAAAAGAAAGAAAAAACAACTCTTTGAAACCCCAAATTTGTAGCTGGGATGAATTCTTATCTCCACTTTCCTCCCCTTACCACAACCTAACACACATGACACACCACTCGTGCACTTTCCTCCCCAATCCAAAGTCCTCCAATTAAAAAAAACAATGGCTTTGAGAGAGAATATATAGGCACTCTATGAGACCACCATGGTAGATCAAAGAATGACATGAATAACAGCTGTATATGTGCTTCAATTATCATATGTCCATTGTTGCCTTAGCTCTCTTCTGCTGGTTTTTGATTATATAGGAGGTCTTGGGGGTTTCCGAGATCGCGGCCGAGGCTATGGTAGCGGACGAAGATGGAACTAAAGTTAAGGTGTTCGGTTTCTTGTAAAACCATCGCTGTGTTGTTGGCACTTGGCACATCCATCTGGGAGATAGTAATTGGTTATTTGTGCGTCACGTACAACTAATTTCATTTAGAGTGAGACTATGATGGAAACCAATTCGGGATGTAATGAGGGCTGAAGACTACTTGATGTGCAGGAGTGCAATGACACTTGAATCTACGGTTGTAAACTAACGAACTTTGTATTAAGATGTGGGGAATCTTCCTTCGCTTCTGCTTCATTTTCATTTCCCAAATTACTAGGGACAGACTGGTGAATTAGTATTTATATATGGATAACTTTGTTTTCAATCTTTTTGTAGGATTCTACTGGGTTTGTTGATGTTATATGGAGTCTGCTTTCATTAAGTTCTGCCTTCAATGTGTATATTTCTTCTGTTTTTCTTTGTACTAATACTTTGTGATTCTTAGAACACCATTGTCACTTTATCATTCTAGATTATGTATTTTAAAGTATTTCTATTTTAATTGAATTCTAACTATTCCTTTTTCACTAGCCAATATGTTTTCGTTGCTTTTTTTTTTTAAATTTTTGTGAACGCTGGCGAATAATGAATTGCAAGAAACAAGATGTAAATTGTCGCACATGATATGGTACAACCAAATGTTTCTCTTGGTACATCAAGCTTTGATTCTACTCAACATGTACTATGCCTTGTACGGTCAGACGACGAATCCACTGGAAATTGCGTAGTCTTTGCCGGCAAATTCCATTTTTTAATGCAACACCGACATCGAAGGATCTCAAGGAGACTCATAAGATCGAGATGATACTTATAGCAAATAGATGGAAATAACTTGTAGAATTATTAGGACTGCGAAAAGAGTAGGTGTTTGTACTGAAGGTGTTGTGGCGGTTGCTGGATAAAGAAGGAAACTCTTCCTCAGAACCCTTGCACTATGTTTGGTTCAAGGAATTTAGAAGGAAAAGAAAAGAAAATGGTTTTCTTTCATTTTCCTCACCAAAATGGGAGGAATTTGATTTTCCCTCCACTTGGTACATTTTGCCTTCTCATTTTCTTTTCCTTCCATTTTTCCTTTCTTTTCCCCTATAACCAAACAAGAAAAACTGTTTTCCACTTCATTTTATTTTCTTTTCCCTTTCAAATTCCTTGAACCAAACATAGTGTAGATGTGTTTGGGAAAGATGAGAAATATGGTATTCTGGCAAAGACGGCAAAATGAACACGACGTTGCTTCAAAATGAATACTACATACATTATTCCAGAATGAACATTACGGGTTCTCCTAGATAATTTTTACTTTGGTTTTGGTATCTTTATGAAGGTTGAAGTTTGGGTGAAGTTTATTGACGTCTCTTTGAGAATTTGGACCGTGTGATCATTTGGGGTCCAGGATGGGAACCCCATTCAAACAGACCATATGACTAAGGAAAGAGAAAGAGTATAGTTATTGCTGGATGCTTAATTATCCTCGTGGACATGTCAAAGGAGCTACGTACCCACATCTTTCAAAGTCAACTTGCATGGAGGAGGGAGCTATATATGCCCAAAAGGTTGTGTGTGAAGGCCTCCCAACAAACTTTTGCTTTCATTGCAAAAAGTTTGGACACAACTTTCCCATGGCACCATGAAGCAAATACGAGTATGTGATGAAAGACAACGTACTGCTTTTGGAGGAAACCAGTACTAATCCGGGGCAAGCCGTTGAGAGTCATGGGGCCACCGAGAAGACAAGGCGCCGGGCTAGACGTAAACGCAAGCGTGGTGCGGGCCGCCCAACATGTGTGGAACGTGTGGTTGGGGTGCAGTCTTCAAAACAGCCAAAGCGGAAGGCACAACATAAGTAGAGGCTATGTTGTGCACTTGTGCTAAACCAAACATCTTAGCTTTCAGAGGGACAAAAAACTAATGAGGATGGTGACTTTCTTGATGTTGTGGAATTAAGGGAGACGGTCCCTACAAAAATCACTCCCAAAGCAGTGAGTGAAAAGGTTTCACAGCAGGCCAAGGAACACATGAGGAGGAAGTCGTCAAAACATGATGACCTCGAAGACCAAGTTGCACGTCTACAACCATAGGCTTTGTTTAAAGTTGACTTCAACCCTTTTGATGGTCTTTCTAAGATGTCACTTGACCTTTTGCAATAACCACATGACTCTTCCTGACACTAATGGTGCGTCACTAGGCGACTGTAAGTTTTACTTTGAATTTGTTTGAAGAATCGGCATATAGGCTTGTCTTGTTTTTTCATTTTTCTTGATGTGTGTGTGTGTGATAAGTCTATTATTTGTGCCTGTGTTGTTATATTTTGTTAGACTTATTGACTTTGTTTTTATATTAAATTGCATAACTTTGGTTGCTATTATAATTTTAGATTGATTTATGTTTAAGGTTTGATTTTAGAGTCCAATTATAAGGGAAGGACCAATTAGCAAACTTATTAGATAAATGAGGTCTATTTTATAAATTCTAAAAGTTTATTTGGTTTATGAGGAGGACTTGGATTGGGAATTGAAGGGACTCAAGGGAGAGGAGGGGGAGACGGAAAGGACTAGAGCGACGGGCAAGGGGGGTTTCTTCGATCCCCTTATAGCTATCCTCCGCATGGGTGTGTGCGTCTTTGATGCATTGTATTTGTACATTGTAGAGAATTGATTTGGCTCTATTTACCTTATATCGTCAAAATGAATACTGTGCAGAGTAGATTTGAAATGAACACTACGTTATTTTGTAGATGTGTTACTCCGTATAATTGTAGTGAACGAACGTAGGAAAATGAACATTCTATTGATTCAAAATGAACATTTTATTGATTTAAAATGAGTATTTGTCGAGTATACCTAGTGAGTATTCAAAAAAAACTAATGTAATTTTTATACTCTATATTTAAACTATATTGTATAATTTGTATTAATGCTCCATATTAAAATAAAATGAATTGGAAAAAAAGAGTGAGCAAGTAATTTCGTTGTTTTTTCTGAATCAAACACACAAGAGATACTTGTAAATAAACTGGGGCTAAAGTCCGGCAGAGATGCAGTGAAAGCAGGTGACGAAAGAAAGAATGGCCGCCTCCGACGGCTCCAAGCTGTACAGGAACAAACCTAAGAAATGTAATTCTTATTTATTTATTTACGTCACTGTGAAGTTGTTTTCGCATATCATCCGAATTAAGCAACAATCGCTAGCTTATGCGATTGATTGATCCATTTGCTTTTATACTTTGCTTATCGCAGCGCGGCTGAAGCAGCAAGCATCTCCTTCGCCGATGACTTCGTCTACTCCTCCGCCGATGACTCCGTATACTCCTCCGCCGGCTAAGCCCGCGCCGCCTTCTCCCCCTGCAAAGGAACCTTTCCTTCGCCGTTACAGGTTTCTAATCCCGATGCTCTTGGCCGTCAATTTCTCCATTGGAGGTTCTTCTCTCTCTCTCTTTCTTATGTTGGCCGATGAAAGTAATTTCATGCCTTAAATCTTACGGATCTCTATAGATTTGTGCTAATTAAACGACGCCTTAGGCCATTGTTGACTAGGTCCTTTAGCATTGTGTTTGATTTCATGATTTTCAGGAAAAACCTAATAGAGTTGTGTGTATCATCAGCTAGCTTTGTTAGGGAGTTGTAGACTGGCTGTAAACTGGTTGCATATATTTTCAAATAGTGTTCTGCATAAGGATGAATCTCACATTTGTTTGTGATGCCTGGCTTACTTCATTGTTTTTTATGTGTTTATGTTCACTTTTGGTTCTGCTGTCATATAGAATTCTTAATTGCTTAGTGTGGCAATACCTTACAAAGAGTTATCATTGAATTTGATGGTCATTCTGAAATTTGAGGGAGCATTAATTTGTTTGCTATAGTAGTATTTTGATTGTTTGAGCAAATCAGTTTAAAAACAATACTTTGCAGAATACGGACTATTTACCTTGTTATGTGAGAGGAATGTGTGGGGGTGGATTTGGTGTCTTGTATTTTTACACTTCACATGGTGTTCTCCATTCACAGCTCACAGGTGCTATCACATTTTCCTAAAAGCCTATCGTTTGGGGAGGATGCATAATGCATCATCCTAAACCAATTTTTCCTTTCATCTTTCTCTGGGTATTGATTAAATGGTAGGAAAAGGGAAGTGATTGATGATTCCTATTTGGATTACTCACATAGAAGTTTTGCTGAACGGAAGATGGGAATTATGAACTTTTCAAACACTAAGGGTTGAACTGGTTGTGTTACGGAGCATAAAATAATACGGAGTACATTTTAAAGGACATACCGACATAGTGCAAAACTGCAAATTCTGTAGGTTTATTTCCGCTAGATCGGAATAAAGTCTGAAAAAAGGCTCATGTATTATTCATTACTTAAGATTCCGAGCACTTCCAATTAAATTAGTAATATATCACTTAGGTTCTTTTTGGATGGAGGGTTTTGGTCTTTTGGATTGGTTTTGGGTGGGGGAAGCTTTGTATATTTTGATAAACAGAATGTTTATAAAAGAAGTTATTGAAAATATATACGACCTCATATTACGTTAATCTTTGGTGTCGTCAATACCATACGTAGTGGCTTTTGATGTATACCATTAACATTTATTTTGCCTACTGCTTATGGTTGTATCTTTATTGGTGAAGTTTGTATCTTTGCAATTTCTGTATGGCTATTGTAGTGTCCCACTATTTTTGTCAGGTAAATCAACCCTTGACATTTTCTTTTCTTCTCTTTCTTCTTTTCATGGTGAAATGGCTTGATTTTCTGTGAAATATATAGCTTACATTTACACGAGGACAAAAAAGAAAGACACCGCCATAGAAATGGAAGAGACTCCTCCTAGCCCTTCTGTGGTGACTGCTACCGAATCTGCCACAATTGCTGAAAAACTAGTTACTCCACCTGCAGTGCAGCAGCCTGTTAAGGAACCGATATCTGAAAACGATAAGCGCGAGATTTTAAAGTGGATGCTTGAAGAGAAGAGAAAACTGAAGCCAAGAGACCCTGAAGAGAAAAAGCGCATCGATGAGGATAAGGCCATTCTTAAACAGTTCATTCGTGCAAAGTCTATCCCCAATCTGTAAACTGTCAAACAGCACTCTGGACAAAATCTGTTGATGCGATTTTTTCTCTTCTTCTGGTACCTTTCTGGTATGTTGGTTGTGTAGTACAGTACTGTTTTATGTTTACTAGTAGTACATTCCTAAAGCTTTCATTACAAAAATATATGAAGGGGCATGGTTCCTCTGTCCCTCCATAGCAATGGTTCCTTTATGCCAGAACACTTAAGGCCATGTTTGGAGGGGGGAGATTGATGGGGAAAGTGGAAAAAACCAAGGAAAAGTGTGTTTTTTTCCCTTGAAAAATATGAAGAAATACCCAATCTGATTGAACTTGTTAATTTTTTCACTGTATCTATCTTTATAAGTAAAATGAGATTGAACAAATCGATTCATGCTTTTCAAATCTCCCGTCTATTTTCTATCCCCTTGCATTTATGTGGTTCCAAACAAACTCTAAAGCATAAACATAGATGGGGATGCCACCTAGCTTATTAGAGTGTTAAGGCGAACTCCATTGCGACTGGTTCTTTACAGCTTGCTCCATTCTGATTTCAAATTCTTTCCATTCCTTGATGCACCTTGCTCGTACCTTTTAAAACACAACACAAATTTCCTTATTCCCTTTCTGTGTGTGCTATTGGTGTCAAATGCACATGTTAAAATGTCGGTTTGAAAGCGGAAAATGAAAATATTTTGTTCATTAAAATAATAGAGGGGGTTTTGGGGATAGATGAAGATAGATATGGACAATTGGAATGGTGAACAGATTGTTGAATGGTTATCTTTTCTTACCCCTTCCCATGGTTCCTTTCCATCAATGGACTCTCCTTGGCTTCCAAGGGAGGGTACTACCAAATGCTCTATCCATTGAGCATCAACAACCCCCATCTTCTCATGTGCCCTCTGCAAATAGGGTAAACCACCAATAAGCGTTCAAGAAATCAAATCAAAGAAGGAAACAATCAAAATAGCATTCCGCCCTTACTTTTACACATCTCCACAAGGCAAAATCAAGGCCCCATCCGTGCACCAAGTCATTCTGCGTCCCCCAAAAAGAAAAAGGAAAAAGAAGAGTGCATCTCCATATCCAAGAAAAAAGAAAGGGCCAAGAATAATATGTAAAATGAATTACCTGAATCAAGTTCCAAACGCACCGCCACGATTCTCTAGAGAATACAGGTGCCATGATCTCCACAAACCTAACCAGTGTCAGTCACCCGCGACCACAATTTGGAATCTCTTTATCAGTGAAATTAAATTTGGCACACCGATACTTATATATAGATTTGTTTGAATGTGTTCAAAAGGGAGTGTGTGTGTGTGTGCGCGTGTGAAGCCACGCGTACCCCGCACAAGGTGGCATGTCTGGGTCAGCACATTGTCCGCTTTGCAGTGTTTGGTTTACCTTCCTGCAACACAATGCAATGATAACACATTAATTTATTAGTAACATTGGTCACAAGCTCAACATGGGTATATATAGTATATCTATACATACTATTTCTAATTGGTTTGATAATGATGTATGTCATATATACCTATGCACTTCAACGCCGGGCCTCTTCATAGTCATTAGCCATGTCAAGCCCTTCCGCGATACAATCGCAGGTTGTGAGATTTCTAGACCATATTTTTTCACAAGCTTAATGTACCTAGAAACACATGCATACATCATCATATCCATATCATTTTGCATGGCTAGAAACAATTAGTTTATGAAGGTGGATGGCCTTCAAGAGTAATATATATACGTGATGATTATATCTTCTTACTCATTTGCATTGAAATTTTCCACGCCCAAATCTTCATCCCAGATGAATATGTACTCATATTGGGCCACAATGTCAGGGTGGAGAAAGCGTTTTGTGTACCACCTGTACTAGAAATATTAGGTTTCTATTGAAAGTTTATTGAAAGTTCACCTGACAATGACTAACATGATTAGAAAGTGACAAGTAAAGTTATTTTGTATATGTTTGGATTGTACTCAATACTTTAATTATTTTAGGTATATATAATACCTGCACAATTTTTTTCTTTATGTCTTTTGGTATATTATTTTCATAACAATAAAAAAAGTGACTTACCATTTGGTTTGTTTTCTTGCAGTGACATGAATCGCACGTTTTGACCATTCATATTCGTCCCATTCGTTTGCCCATTCATCGTAATGGAACAATACTATTGCAAAATCCTCTGTAAACTAAAAAATATAAACACCATATTATTTAGTGATATTGGAGATCTCTTTCTTGAACCAAATTGGATCAACAATAACTTTAGTGCACTTAGACACAAGTTTTTGTTTGTGCCGTTCTATATAAAAATGATATAATTAGCATAAGAGTATTGTAGTGATGAAATAGATATGAACCTTTGAGATAATCTTGTTAACTATATCTTTTTGTTTCACTCCTACTGTTACGGTTAGCAAGTATTTCGGCGACATATCTTCACCATTGAGATTCAAACTCGAGTAAGGCTCAACAATGCCCGGTGGCAATCTTTCAGCACCACGTGGATTTGTTGCAACAAATATCTATATTAAAAATTTGAATTATATCATGCTCAAATATGATAGATAAAAATAGACGAAAGAAAACACATAATATAAGAAAAATGTTATAACTAATCACGATATGATATATACATTCGTAATATTATTATCTGTTACGAAATCTTCTGGTAAACAAGTTGAATAATTCTGATATTCGGGCGAAGGCACGACATTCAAAACATCAACCTGGTAAAAAACAATTAAACACATAGGATGAAATCAAGTTATTATTACTATGAATAAATTCATCCGTTAAGAAAAAAAAACAAACCTTTTTAACTCTCCTAAGGGACAAACCAATATAGAATCCCACCAAGAAACTGCACATGACAAGTACAATGAGATATGCCTCTGGTAACTTTGTGTGAAACACTATCTTCATTTTCAACTCTCCACAAGTTCATCATCTTTTACAGCACTGTAAATTTGAAAGCTTATTGATGCGGAGTCATGCATCCATGCAGTAAATGTTGAGTCAATTTGTGTACATGTAACCTCCCAAGCTCTCATTAAATCTGATTAAATGACGGTTAAAAAAAAGTAAAACTGATTCTCATTACTCTAAAAAAGCTTATTAAGCCAAGTTGGTAGTAAATACGAGTAGTACGTAATCCATTTAAAAACATATTGTTACAATTGTTATTCACGTGAATAAATAATTTCCTTTTTTATACATATTTTCTGTTAGGGAAATTAACGATAACTTGGATGAATCGAGAGTTGTGTAAACACTTTCAGATTGAATATTTTGGTTGTTCACTCCAAAATTCAATCGGATAAAACTCGAAAGTATCAAGAACGAAAATATGAGAATTGTTGTAAAAAATCCGAACGAAATTCGACCATGCCCAGTGGGATTTTATAGACTAGGGGTGAGAAGGAGAAGACACCATTCGCGGCTATTACCCAAAGCACGCAACTCTTTGCGCGGAAGTTCTTCTTCAAAATTCGGTCCTATCCATCGGAATTTTTCTTTTAAAGAAAATTCGAAATTAAAATTCTAATTGAATTTTTTTAACATAGCACCGAGCCCAAAATAAAAAATTTTCGAGCTGACCTGGCATCTCGACCCCAGCCAGGGGCTCTGGCCCTTGGACCCTGCAGGAGCCACCCCTTGAACCCTGCTCGGGGGCGCTGCCCCTTGGAACCCCCGGTGTAACGGGTTTTTTATCGTAACAAACTCAATGAAGCGTGCACTCCGCACCACCAAACTTTTTTGATGATTATTAGGATACCATTGGTAGTAGTTTTTCCAATTACACTAAAATATATAACATTTTCATTTATCATTCATAAAATAATACTGCGTATAATCATATCAAACATGCTGGAAGTGATAAACTGGGCTGCGCCTGACGGCTGACTAGAATCCTCAGCGGGCGACTGGGTTGAAGGTAAATGAAATTCGATTTAATTTGATTTTTTGGGGTAAATGAAACCCAATTTGATTTAACTATTCGGATTTAAAGATTTATGTTTAATTGAATTTGCTATTGATTGAATTTGAGTTTATTGAGATGGTGTGTATTTTACTGCAATGGAAATATGACTTTGTAGCGACTGGGTTTTGTAGCGACTGGGTTTTGATTGAATTTCTCAAATTTCACTTTTGTTTAATACTCCGTATAATGGAGGGTTGGAAGGCAATAGCTGCGATATGTGGTAATATCTACACACTATATTTATGATTTATATAGATTTATTATGAATTTCATATTAATTAATGGTATTAATATGTTAATAGTTTGTATTATAAGGAGTATTAGGTTTAGAATTTCATTACAAAAGGTTAAAACCTATGCTTCCACAAGAACATCTGGTTGGACTTGAAGTTCAACCACATTTTTTGATTCAAGAAACTTAAACAACTCCGAATTATATTCTGCGCGTTGTGTAATTGAAGTAATATGATTTGTATGGTATGACTTTTAATACTCCGCGTTTATATATATCATCTTGTTTTCATTTCCTTACATTAACGTTTTTGTGATCCCACTCTATGAATTATGAATTATCCGTGTCCGTCCCAGTAATAAGTTGCAATTAAGTTGTGATGATAGGAGCAAGGAACTTTGATCTCTTCCCTTTGATCGGTGCGTCTGTGTCTGGAAAGCAGCCATTATCAGTCTCCATAAGATCCTCCACCACACCATCTCTACTTACCCTCACTGGATAGCTCACCAAGTGCACCCCTTCCATGTCTCTAATTACTTCTTCATCATCATCATCATCTTCTTCTTCTTCTTCTTCTTCTTCGTCTTCTGAGCCTGATGAACTATAAATGCCCCACATTTTATCTCCAATGGAACGCATCTTCTTCACGCACTCCACGCTCTGAGGCTCCAGGAACTCTCTATAGCTCGTGGCTTTTCCGGCCGTGTGTTCATACCACAAAGACATTCGGTACGCGCGAATGTCCCCCTCATCGGTAGCGATTCCTTCTTCACTACTCCTTGATGACTGATAGCATCCCATTGCAATTTCTGTGTCCCGTTCTCCATCCATCGATCTTTGGTTCATGTTCGCTGACCCTATTACCAGATATGCATCGTCCGCTGAAGATCCAACAAAACAAAACAAGTACATTATAATAATTTTATATAGTATTTCAAGACTTCATACATGCTTGTGCTGATTTATATATATACTCCACCTATGATGAGTTTGGAGTGGACATAAACCATGAACCTCCGGTGTTTTTGAGCCTTGCAGTAGTGGTGAGATGAAGGGTGAGGAGAGGATGGAGGGACAAATTCTCCTGCCTTCATCTTTTCTTCTCTATTAGCGAGGCAGAAGAAGTTCAAGTAATCTCTGGGGTGCGTTTGGCTGCTACTTTCTCTGATTGCCTCGCCTATTATTCCATACATCATCTTCATTGTTTCTCTAGTCCAGTGCAGTATATCCTGAACGGAATCGCTCCGGGGGTCCCCTTCCGGCCACATAGGTATCACTACGTATGCCGCAAAGCGACCATTTTCTCTGATTTTTCTCGCAATCTTTAATGCTATTTCGACCGGGATTAAGTTGGTGCACCACCCATTTCTGTTCTTGTCTTTGTCCTGCTCCCAAACATGGCTTCCCCCTATGAAGTACTGGTTTTCAATGTACACAAATCTCTCTGCCTTCCTGATGGCTTCCACGTACCCTTCGTGGATGCTCCTCTCCACTTGCATGTTTCTTGGCAGAGTGTTTGTCGATGAGTCATCAATGGATCTCAAGACTTGAACCTTCCAATCCCGTTCTGAAACGGGGTTGGTTTCGGGTCCGTTACAATTATTACTTAGCTCGCGAATCGAGCTAATTGGGACCAGAGATGTGGGGCCACGGCCGCATTGCTTCGTCCATCTCTGCTCAAAATTTTCAAGAATGTCGAGAGCAGCCTGTCCCAAGACAGAGGAATGAGTGTCGTGCCATGGCTCTCGGGGCCCGCCTCTAGAGAGACATGCCCCGGGCAAGCTGCTCTGGTAAAAGTCATGGCAATGATACTCTGTGTTGAGGGTGCGGAATAGGGAGTGCTCCTCCGTGTCATAACGTCCGTCGAACAAATCAAACCCCCCAATGAAGGACATGATTTCTCTCTCCCTCGAGAACATCCACGGCGGCGACTCAATGCCGCAGGCGACGTCCACAGTTATGGTCTTCTGGTGGTGTGTAAAGACGACAGACGGCGGTAACTTACGGTGTCCTCTGGGAACCAATCTGCACACCACTTTTGTGTTGTTGAAATATAGATGGGAGTCCTCGTCGCGTGTTCTCATCACCCCTTTGTTTTTTATGATCGGAAAAGACGTCTCGTCGTCCCACAGCATAATCCTTACGGCCACCCCTTCTTCTGCTTTGCGTTTCAGCAATTCTCCCAGCTTTACTCCTCTTGCATGTTGAATTTCTGTCATGGGATCGCGAACCTGCCCGTGGACGTTAAATGATTGTATTTTAAGTCGCGTGGAAGTAAAACTGTGAATTGTACTTGGGATAATAATCTGGGATAAAAGTCACTAGTAATAAATCTTAGATAGCTGAATTGCACTTACCAAGACCAGATTAGGATTAAAAGACCAGCATGCAATGTAAACCAAGTGTCTAGCACCATCAATGGCTTTGTATATATCTTCCCACAATTTTCTTGGCTTCCCAAAAGGTGGCCGAAATGCAACCGTATGGTGTGCGTCCTGATACAAGGTGACAGCACAGTTTGATCTGAGTGGGAATGTGGCATTCTTATTACTCTTTGGCCCTAAGAACCCACTGCCCTCATATTCTTCTGCAGGTCTGAACCACACCATCAGCTGCAAACTGACCATCCTCTTCTGGGTGTTTGTACGCCGCAGAGGGAATGACCCTTGGATCACGCCGTGCTGCAAGAGTCGGTTTCCTTCGACGCTGAATTTCCCCAAGACATGACATTTTGTTGTCAATGCGATTGTGAGTGTTGTCGTGTCTGCGGGATGGGCGCATAGAATGTGGAAGGTTTGGTTCCAAACAAGGCCGCGCTCGCTTGTCGTTTTAGCCACCATCTTGTCTCCCAGATTGATTGTCACATGTGCAGGTTTTCCCCTCAAAGCCATGCACTCCTAAGTGTGTGTATAAAACATGAATATAACAATGGTTAGAGACTCCTAAAATGGATTGTTTTCACTTTTCATAGTGAAAATAAAAAAAGACTTGAAAAAACCAATACTCAGAAGGAAAAAAAAAGAGAGATTGTTTAATTTCTAGTATGAGCTTTAATTCACCATGAAGGGAAAAGTTGGATTATTGTCCCTGATTGCATGAAAAATTGATACTTCAAGTGTTCCATGCAAGAATTTGTGTATTCCCTCCATTTTAATTTGTTTTTTTATATTAGAATGTATATAAATGGTATAAGAGTTGCAGATTCTTGAAATGATCCTTCAATGGAAGAGCTAGGGGTATATGTAATAAATGCAGATAGGTATGCAGTTAATAATTATTTGTTTTCTAATCAAAGAAAAGTGTGGAAACTTGGAATGGAAAATTGAAGAGGGTTGGAAAAGTTTGTGAATTTGTATATGATCAATCTTAGGGGCAAACTCAACTCCCTCAAGCTGATTAAATACACTTTTGTGTCTACTTTAAGTTGAAGTTTTGTTTTTGGAAGTGCATTTACTCATTGTTGTATGTCACCTTTGAGGCTCCTTAGCCTTTGTACAGTCACTACTACAAAAAAGACTTTTTAAATCGGTTATTTTGACTCATTTAAATCGGTTTTGAACCGATGCAAAAGTCAGCGATGCAAATGCTCAGGTTACTTTTTTGCATCAGTTGTAAAACCGATTCAAAAGCCTCTTCTCAGAAATGGCGCCAATTCTGGGAAGAGACTTTTGAATCGATTATTTGGCATTTGCATCGTTTGTTTTGCTTAACGATGCAAATGGGGGGATTTATTTGGTCGTTTTTGTAGTAGTGAGTTCTTTTTTTACTTGCACTTTGGGTGATGTACAGAAATTATTACTCTATTATATTCATTCCATAAACACAACACTCTTTCTTAACATGTTTTTATACCATAAAAAGAGTCAAATTTGAAGAAAAAACAATTTTCATCATATTAAATGAGTTTTTATTAAATAATTCTAAACGGATTAAATTAAATATGGTAATTTCAGTTAGACTAACCAAAACACTTGAAGATATAACTATATGTGATGATTTCTAATATTCGTACCTCATCAAAATTGCACACTCATACATTATAAAAATATGACACTTTTAACTTCATAGAGGAAGTTGTAATTTTATGAAAATTACTTGGTCCGTCCCTAAGTGTTTGTCCACTTTTGACTTTTGGAACTGTTCATCTAAGCACGTTGACTTATCAAATTCTCTCAATGTGTAAGCCTAAAAATAGTCATGTGTGATCTTGTTTGATTCGTCTTAACATATAGATTATTAATATATAATTTTTATAATTTTTTAATATACAAATTACAAGATAAAATGGATTAAAGAAGTGCATTGGATGGTGTGCAAAAATGAAAGTGGACAAACACTCAGGGACGGAGGGAGTAAATAATAACAAAAGATATTATTCCTAGAAAGATTTTCCTATAATTTAATTATTTTTATGAAAGAAGATGCAAGTTAAAAAACATTCATATCAAAGCATGAAAAATACTATGGTAAATTCTTGTATATGGATGGACTGAATATACGTAAAAGAATCATAGATCTTTTCATATGCCCAATAAGTAATTTAATTATCATATGGATATGTATTTATTGTTTACTTTTTTTTTTAATTTTTATAGGTTTTTTAATGTTTTCATAAGTTGTGATTTAGTTCATACGGACGGAGTACTTTTTTGTTCAAAAATACAGTAATTATTTTAAAGAAAAGTTTATGTGGCATATATATATATATGTAAGAAATATAATTTGTGTATGATGGGTATACTAAATTTGAATAGAGTTCTGCTGCTGAGTTCCGAACCAAATAGCATCGGAGACGACAATTATATATGGTGTTCATTTAATTATATGAAAAAAAAAACTGAGGATTAGAACTAATAAATAAATAAACAAATTCCCTGTAAAACACAAAACTCCATATATAAATTGAGAGGTTTGCCAATAAATAACACACGAGGTACAAAGAATTGAAGATCAACTTTTGCATTGATTGAGTTAGTAAAGAAAGAATGAGTGAATGAATGAATGAGTCCGTTGGCTTTGTCTTGGCTTGGTTTGGCTTCAACTCATTGTCGTTCTTCTTCCCAAACTGCCCATGTTTCCAATTACTACATGACATAATAATCTCACTCCAAATACTACGTATAATCTACGCATTTCTTTTGTGAAATAGACTTTGTATAATTGTATATTACTCCCTCCGTCCCTCTAAGATGTTCTCATTTTGACTTTTGGTGGTTTTTAAGAAGAGTTGAAAAAAGATGAATGTTTACAATAATACCCTTAATGAAAAATGGGTGGAGTGTATTAAATGAGGTGGGTGAGGTGTAATAAATAAAGTAAGTGAGGGTAGTTGTGGTATTTTAATTGTTAATAAATGAAATGAGAAGATCTATTGTGAACAAAGAAAAAAGGCTATTGAAAAGATCTATGAGGGACGGAGGGAGTATAATGCTTTTCACAAACATTTCATAAAATTAATTAAAGAAAGAAGAAGAGAGCTTTAGACAAAGCCACGTGAGGGGTAGTGGCTGCCCTTCGTTACGACCTCATTGTCCTTCCCCACGACGCTAAAGTGCGTGCGCCCTTTTTATTTTATTTTTTTGAAAGCAAAAACCTTATTTTAAATAGACCTAGTAATAAACCCCAGGGGTGAACGAACCACTCCTCAACCATCTCAATAGAATGAGTAGCATGCACCAATAAACGTGTCGTCTCATTAACATAGTAGAAAATAAAATTAAAATTAAGATCTTTACAAATTACTTTTATACGCTTGCAACAAGCAAGGATATAACTGAAATAGGATCACCTAGGGGAGAAAAGTCAATGTAGTCCATCAATTTGCAATTAGAATCTAATTTTTCTCCCAGTCGGATCTGAGGTAACCTTCGGGGATGGGGTTCATCCTTTTGTGAATGTAATCCACAACTTCTTTGCAAGTTGTTTCAAACAATGATATGCACCCATCTCCGCCTTGTGATTTTGGGCCAGCTTGAGAATAAAATATTAACGGTGCAAATTAAATTTAAAAAAAATGCTATCTGTTAATAGCTTTTTCAAAACGACTAAATTCTAACGATATTCTCAAATAGGCCTTTTATAAATGAGTACAAGCAGTCCAGTCCATTTGCCAATGGGCCACGGCCTAAGCTTTCCTAAATTGGTAGGCCCTTGCCATGAATCTCCATCAATCGCAGCCGTTAATCATTTAAACTCCTAATCTCCAGAGAGTCCAGACCGGTTTGGGTCCCACCAGAGTGCACCAATCCGTCAGTCGCGCTATATAGACAGAGAAAGAGAAAGAGAGAGAGAGAGAGAGAACCCGCGTCAATTTATTGTTGCCTCCTTGCCTGCATCTCCTCGGGATTCCCGATTGAACCAAAAGTCGCCGGAGAATGACGACATACGGCACGATTCCGACGTCTTCACCCGGCGGCGGTGCGACTGCGAGCATGGAGTACATCTCCCGTGCGAAGGCGACGATAAAGGAGGGGCTGGGCACGCGGCGGCCGTGGCGAGAGATGTTCAACTTCCACTCCTTCGGCCTCCCCTCCAGCTTCCCCGACGCCGTTTCGCGGATCCAAATCAACATCGCCTACTTCCGGATGAACTACGCCCTCGCAGTCCTCCCGATTCTCTTCCTCAGCCTCCTGTGGCACCCGATCTCCCTCCTCGTCTTCGTCGCCCTAATGGCCGTGTGGCTGTTCCTCTACTTCCTCCGCGATTTCCAGCTGGTGATCTTCGGCCGCCAGATCAGTGACGGCGTGGTGCTGATTGTTCTCTCCGTCCTCACAATCGTTCTGCTCCTCTTCACCGGCGCCACCTGGAACATTATCACGTCTCTGCTAATCGGGGCACTCCTCGTGGTTGCACACGGTGCTCTTAGGACCACCGACGATTTGGCCTTGGATGAGGAATCCAGCGGATTAATTGCCAGCCACGCTCCGGCTGTTCCGTCGTCTTAGTGTGTGTGCTGCTTGTTCCGTATGTGTTTGCGCATTTTCCTTTCTCCAATTCCATTATTTTATGTTATTGGTTTATGAACGAGTGCTGATTTTTCTCATATCTTGGTTAATTTGTTGTAAATGTAGGGATGTGCCTTCATTTGGTTTTGGGTTTTTTTTTTTGGAAGAAATTTAGTCACTCGAAAATTTAAAATCATCTTTTGATCTAGTAGCTTGTTAAATTTTTTAATGTTAGATTTCAAAAGTCTCTCTGGAGTAGACCACGTGTTTTCCTTCGAGTCACATGTCGACAACCGTGCCCACTAAACTCTTCTGAACCTAACGCCCTCATTTTTAACAAAAATAAATAAATAAATCTATTCATTTAAATTATTCTGCTAAATTACTAAAAATCTAGATTGAATTATTAAATCTATGCAATTTTAAGAAATGATCCACAAAACTGGCACGGATGGTAAGTGAAATACTGGCAGCTTGGGACATCTTGAAGAGTTTCCTGTCGTTAAATATGGGGTTTTACACTACACTTGAGCCCCTTGGTCCTAATAAGTTCATTGGATACAAATATTAATAAGATAGGAATACTCCGTAGTACAGTTGAAATAAAGACTTGAATAAAGGAATTGTGCATATTTTGGAATGAATAAAAATGAGACGTTTGTTTAGAATGAAATAGGTAAATTGAATTGAGAAAAAAATATTAATAAAAGAGGAACGAACGACTTTCCGTTTCCAACTAAATACTCCGTAATACAGAAGCACTCAAAGCACAAGCACTCATCCTAAATACTTCGTATATAGAAAAAAAAAAAAGTTTACACGTGGGGAGGGGGGAACTTTTTTTTTTTTTTTTTAGTTTACGGGAATTGTGGTTAACTCACCTTCATCATCAATCTCCCACCGAGGGATTTTATCAACGATGTCAAAGGAGAGCTTGGGGGAGAAATCCTCCAGCACTTGGCTTAAGATGGGGCCGCTGTACCTTTGGAAGTATGGAGACGCATCCGCCGCCCACATCCTCCTGCTCTCTCCCGGCGTCGATATTCGACCCGAGTCCATGATTATGTCCCCTTCTAGTATGCGAAGCACCTTCAACAGTGTAAATCTCTCCCGTTAGAGAACAGGAAGTTATAAATAGCTTAATTACACTTTGGCAAGAAAATGATGCCAAAGATTGTTTGGAACAATGCTATACTGAGGTACATGTTTTTTTGAAGTTATTAATAGCTAGCTTAGTTACACTTAAGAAGCAGATGCTTGTTACGATGTAAAGTACCCCGAGTGTTTACCTTCGAGAGAGAGAGAGAGAGCAGTCGAATATAAACATTTTCTACTGAGTTAAAAAACCAACTCCACCACAAGCTTTAGTTTGAGGTTGTAAGTCCAGGAAATATTCTTTATACTCAAACGTATTCTTTAACCAAGGAAAGTAAACGGTCAACTGTAATTGTCTTCCTTCGGTGTGATGAAATTGATTCTCATGGAGGATGGTGATCATATTTATTCCCCATGGAATGTACCAAGCGTCCCCTAGATCTTATAGGTTTTTTTATATTGATGACAATCATATGGGCCTTTTTTTTACCTGAGACATGCGAGGTCTGGCCTGAGGGTCACGGCGTATGCACAAGGATGCGGCATGCAACATGCAATGAACCTCATGTTCATCATAGTTGTTTGCTAGCCGAGGATCAATCAATTCCTCAATGGCGTATTCTTCCAACAGTGGGCGGGCCTGCGGATTGAAAGCCAGCCACAAAGAAAAAGAAAAACTTATTAGATGGCTTCCACTGAGAAGGGGAATAATTGGAAATGAGAAAGACAATGCAACAAACCCATTCTGTGAGACACTGCTGGCCTTTGGGCCTGGTTAGATCCACAGCTCTGCGTCCTGTAACAAGCTCGACGAGCACCACACCAAAGGAGTAAACGTCGGCTTTTTCTGTGATCTGGCTGCTTTGAGTGTACTCAGGAGCCAAGTATCTGGATGAAGAAAGAGATAGTTGCCAGAGTTAGTTTTGTAGTTCTACCAATAAAAGCTAAGAAATACCCACCAAAATAAGGAAAATGCTGAAGGCACAAACCCAAATGTCCCAAGTATCCGTGTTTCAACTGCTGTATCTCCATCCGGTTGCCACCTGGCCAGACCAAAGTCTCCAACCTAGGAAGCAAACGAAATACACAGCATAAATACCGTGATATGAGTGTGGTTGGGATATGAGTATATGATCGCTATTTGTCTTTGGTAGAGCCTGGGAGGAAGAGTCCAGTCTTTTAGAGTAGCCATAGACCTTTGCTAGTAAAATTAAAGGTGTATGTAAATAAGCTTCGAAGAGTCTTATAAGTTATTAGTCCTATTCTATTCGGGAGAATAATATTGCCACCAAGAATGTACTCGAACGGAATGTAATGAAAACAATAGCATGAACTAGCATCATAAGAGAATTGCAATACCAGGGGTTCAAAGTCATGGGTGATAAGAATGTTATTGGGACGCATATCTCGGTGAACAATGCATCCTACTCTACATTCCTCATGCAAATAGCGCAAACCTCTTGCTGCCCCAACAGCCACTTTTTGCCGGGCAGACCACAATAAGGGGTTTTCATTGTTTCCTGAAATTAGACAATGCCAATGAAGTTAAATAGAAACTAAAAACATTACCTCTAAAAGGCTGGGTAATAAGAAATAAAATATAATATTGCATGTGTCCAATCAAGGATTGCAAACAGCTCCATAAAAATAGAACAGTAAATCCTCTTAAATCATTTTTACATTTGCAACACAGAATAATCGCAGTTTAAGATATGCACAAAGTGGGAGAAGGATCGCATACCGTATAGATGAGAATCTAAAGACCCATTGCAGATGTATTCATAAACTAACATCCTTCTGCTATTCTCAATACAGAATCCTATCAGCATGACAACATTTCGGTGCTGAGCACAACTAAGAACTTCAACTTCTGAGCAGAATTCTTGATCACCTTGGGAACTTGCCACTTTATGTTGTTTAACAGCAACCACCTGACCATCAGGGAGAACACCCCTGTAAACGGAGCCAAACCCGCCCTCTGCCAAAAAATTGGCCTGAGAAAATCCATCTGTCGCATTTTCCAGCTCAGCATAGCTGAACCACCTAGGAGGCTTTCCAAACACGGGTGCCTTGTGTTGGCATATTGAACATAAGGGAGGAGGACCTAGAGGGGCACTTCTTGAAAGTGAAATTGCATCTCGCAAACTACCAGTGAAATCTAAGTCAACCCTAAAGCTTGGAGATGATGCAAATATGCCTTCATCTTCAGTTTTAGAAAACTTTCCAAGCATACTATTGGCTGTATAGATTTGAGCCAGGTTGTGGGAGGACTGGAACTGTGCATTGGCTATGCTGTTAGACATCCACGGAGAGGTTCCTGGATCAGAACTATAAACTGAGGGCGTACCGTCACCTTCAGTTGCAGTGAATATCTCTGGACTACTTGATTGAGATTTCACTGGAGGTATTGAACTGGAAGCTTCACTATCCTTTTTACTTGACCCAACTAAATTAAGTCGAAGAACCTTTGCTTGAGATCGCTTCATTACTACAACGTTGCACTGCAGCTCTTCCATGCATCTTTTTTCCTCGTGCTTGAGCTGCCTAAAAAGAATGTACAAATAGATGAACTTGCTGTATATGATGCAAAATAAGACCTGTTTGGTAGGCGCTATTTGGCCAAAATGGCAGAAATTGTTTAATCTGCTGAGCGTTTCTCAAAGGAGAAATGTTTGGTGATATCTATTTCAGCCATATACCTCAAAATTATACGAAGATTAAGCACATTATTGAAGCACACTAAAAATGTACAAGTATTACTTGTCAAAAACAACCCAGTTTGCTTGAGTCCTCTTTGCCTCAGCAGCCACGGCCCCACATGGTGAGCCAGAAACAATTTTAATCTTGACATTTATCTGGAGGGCATCATATTGTTAAGACAAACTAATTCATTAGTGCATGATAATGTTAATGGACATTCCTAAAGATGAATTATCATTATTAAACTACCTTATTTGGGTCATAAACGTTATGAAGCTTTATGATCATTTGGGAGCAGGAATCTGTTATGTCAGATTTCTGCTCAGAAGTAGTCCCGATATGTGTCCTTCGATGGCCATGAGCACAATCTCCAGCAAACCTTGGGAACATCCATTTTCTGCCTGAAGAATGATATAGATAACACTAAAGTTTTCAGATAGAAGAAATAGCAACATGAATATGGTGCCATATCATGGTTCTAGGAAGCCAAGTTGATTTTGCTATTTAAAATGGAGTGCAACATTCAATAGAGCAGGTACTTCCTTATAGAATGACATCAAGAATTACACGTGTTTGAAAGGATGAAGTATTAATCTTTACAAGAAGTCACAATTTTGATAAGCGAGATCGGGTGCCCCATTTGGAACGCATAAAATGCTAAGAAATGACCAGCTCCACAAAAACAACATACGGAGTATGTGTTAAGCATATAACTAGCATTTAGTTATACTCCTCACTTCGATCAGATGTGATTCTATAAGTAAAACCAAACATAAAGAATGTACCTACTCCCTATTTCATAAACGTATTTTATTTTTCCTAACTGTTTTCTGCATTTGTGACGCTTTGCTATTTGTGGGGCTCTTATGAAAGAAATAGGATTTACCAGAGCTTTGTGAAGGGACAACGACCAGAAGTGCAATGCAGTCTCCAGGTTGAACGATATGTGTCAAAGCCCAAACAAGAGCGGCCTTTGGTATTTCCTTGGATGCCTTCACAGCTACCAAAACTTTTTCCATTACATTAGGATCCGTATCCTGTCTCCTTCTTCACTTCCTGGCTCATTAAACAGAATGTACGTTTTCAGAAAGCTTTCATCAGAGCTTCAATACGAGTATATAACAAACTCATTACTCCAGCGCCCACAATACAAATATGGGAAATAACCAGAAGGAAATTTTTGTGGTGCCTTCAATGAATTTTTTTTAATCCCTCTTAAAGGTGTGGTGCTCGTGGCTACCAAAGAAGGCACCAAATTAAGAATCATTGCAATTTCAAATGACAAGACACTTTTGACTGGAGGCCAAACACAGTTTTCAAGATTTGTTTTTTCAAAAGAAAAAGAAAGGAAAAAAAAACTGAGCTGTAAAGGTGTCAAAGAGAATACTT